GGATTTAGTGACAAACGTCACTGAAAACTTTATTGCGAGCAGTTTCAGGAGAGAGGTGAGGACAGAAACATAGACATGAGTGAAAAATGAAGACTAAATGTAGTCAACTTTCAGGAAGGTGAAGGGGAGAGATGAGAAGGCAGAAGCTGGCAGGCATAGGGGTCAAGGGGGGAGAGAGAGAGAGAGTGTGTGTGTGTGTGTGTGTGTGATATACTTCTTAGAGGAGGAGCAAATAAAAAAGAGAAAGTGGAGATATAAAAAATAGGAAGGTATCTGAAGAAGTGCTAGGGGTTGGGTTCTGATCATAGCTAGAGAATAGCAGGAGGAGCTTGTCTTTTATTGTTACCCAGAGAGAATATAGAAAGTTAGGTGATGGGTTTCGCTTTGTTCGTGGGTAATTAATATGATAGTTTTATGTAGGAGACAGGATTATCTCCTAAGAGTGTGTGAGAGGTTTACAAAAAGTAGAAAAGGTTTATTATGAATGACCAGCAGGACTAATTGGCTAAGAAATGGTAGAATTGAGAAAAGCTAAGGTCAGGTTGAGGTGTGTGACCATGAGTCTATACAGAAGCACTGGTTTGTACACTTGTTAAATAGAATGAAAATAGTTAATAGTTGAATTCATGGAGAGACAAGGGGACAAGAAAATTGAGTACACTGGCAAAAGAGTGGTTGAAGTGATAGACTGAATTAAAACTCCAGAGGGAAGGAACTGAAGATAAAAGGAGCCTAAATGACTAAGAATAAGGGGATAGCTTATGATCTAGAACAGGTCAGCAGGCCAGATAGTAATATTTGGGCTTTGTAGGTCGTGTGTTTGCTGTTGCAGCTACTTAGCTCTCTGTCATAACATGAATGTAGCCACCATATTTAAATGAGTGAGTGTGGCAGGTCAGATTCGACCCACATGTTGTAATTTGCTGGCCTCTGGTCTGAAGTTCCAGCAGAATCAAAGAGTTAGTGAATGGGGAGTACTGAACCTGAAGGATATGCTCAGAGGGTGATTTTGCATCTGTGACAGTTCTTTGTAATGACAAGATCTAAGTAAGTATGACAGCTAGAGAGGGTGGTGGTTATTTGAGAAGCTCAAGTGGATCACCCACGTGAATGTTAACTTTACTCAAGAGGACATAAAAGTTTGGTTGCAGAGGAACCATGTGAGCCTGGTTTGGAGCATTATCAAGGGATTTGTTGATGACAGTGATAAAGATGAGAGTAGGAGAGGAGGGTAGAAGATGGTATATCCAAATAGGGTGGAACTTAAAGAAGCAGGGGTTTTCCCATTCTCGTTCTTTCATTCATTCACTGACAATGAGACATTGTCTAAAATATTTTTCGCAGAAAAATTAGTTTCCCCTCTGGCTTTTTTGTTTTGTTTTGTTCCACTTCCAAACCCTCACATTTCCCCTTTAAGAGAATATTACTTCAGGTTATATTAAAATCTATTTATTTTCCATATTTTCTCCTATTTAACATTAGAAGCCAGATACTTAATAAAAGTATATTTTTATTCAAAGTAACAAGTTCAGCCTTTTAATTGAGATGTTTAGACCATTTACATTTAATGTGGCTATTGATATGGTTAGATTTTAAGCTACCACCTTGCTGTTTCTTTGATCTGTTCTTTGCTTCCTTTTTCAAATTTCTTTTGGACTAATCTAATAATTTTTATGATTCCATTTTATCACTTTTGCTGGTCCATTAGCAGTATGACTCTGTTATTTAAGTGGTTGATTTAGGTTTTGTAAACTTAACTACAGTTTATCTTTAAGTGATAATATTACCACTTCATGTGTCATATGAGATAACTTATAACAGTGTACTTGCATCTGTTCTCTCTCTTTGTGCAGTTATTATATTTGTTATAAACCACACACTACATTAGTTTTGTTTCAACAGTTAATTCTCTTTTAAAGAGATTCGAATGCTATAAAAAGTATATATTTTCAGTACTCATGTTCCTTTGTATAGATCCACATTTTCTAGTATCATTTTCCTTGTTTTATTAAGGACTTTCTTTATAAACATACCTGGTAATATGGGCTGCTAATGATGAATTCTTTTAGCTTTTGTGTCTTGAAAAAGTCATTGTTTTGCTCGCTTCCATCGTTTCTGATGAGAAATATCTTCTGTTATCCCTATCATAGCAACCAAAATATAACCAAAGACACTGAAATAGAGAACAGGCTGACAGTGACCAGAGGGGAGAGGGGAGGGAATTTCAAGGAAAAAGGGGAAGGGTTTACAGGAACAAGTATAAAGGACACATGGAGAAAAACTAAGGGGAGTGAAAATGGGAGGGAGGTGGGGAGCACTGGGGGGGTTGGGCTGGGATGGGAGTAAAAGATAGAAAACTGTACTTGAACAACAATTAAAAGGAATAAATTTTTCAAAAGTTCTGGTGTTTAGAATATGACTTTTTGCTCTGGCTACATTTACAATTTTTACCTTTATCTTTAGTTGGTTTTCATCAATTTTATTATGATTTGGCTTGATGGCCCCCACTCCCCAACCAGTGTTTCTTGTTGAGTTTATTGGATCTGTGGGTTCATAGTTTTCATAAAATTTGGCGCTCTTCAGCCATTGTTTCTCCAGGTACTGCTTTTGCTCCTCTCCCCGTGGTGTGCTCTGGAAGCTCTGTCAAGGCAGGAGAGTGGAACTGTTGCGGGGCTTGCCAGTGTGTTTCCTTCCCCCAGAGATTCTCTCTCAGGGGTCACTGTCCCTTCTTGAGTGATGTGCACTGCCTTAGCTGTTGTTTCCTCTGTTTGTTTTATACTTGTTTCACGCAGCAGGGTAAGTTTGGTCCTTGTTACTCCAAGTTGACTGGAAGTGCCAGTCAGATGCTTTTAATATACCAAGAAATATAACTCTTACCTACTTTAAAATCCTTACTTTTGTATAATGTCACTTTTTAACTTGATAAGGTAAAAATGACTCTGGTAGTTGATGACTGCTTACTAACCATTGGGAGTTTTATTAGTTTAACCTTGATAAAGTATAGAAAAAATCAAGTTCACATATGCAAGAGTTTTTTTTCTTTTTTCTTTAAACCTCAGGCTTTTTTGTTATTGGTAAATGTCAGATGTTACTCAGGGAATCAGATTTTATCTCAGTGTAAGAATATACTTTTTTAAGAGTTTGAAAATACATTCTTACTCAATTTGGTTTAATTTTTTATTAAGTTATAATTTACATACAGTACTATTCACTTTTTTAGTATTTTCACAAATACATGCAGTCTTGTTAGCAACTGCCTTTTATAACTGACCCCTTCCTTTCCACTCTCACCTCCTGGCAACCACCAGCCTGTTTTCTGTTTCTGTAGTTTTGCCTTTTCCAGAAAGTCATAGGGATTCCAAAATCATACAAAATGTAGCCTTCCAATGCTAGCTTCTCTCACTTGACATAATGCGTTTGAGACCTCTGTGGATGTGTATCAGTAGTTTGCTCCTTGTTCCTATCAGTATTCCATTGATTGGATGTACCACACTTTCGCTAATGTCACTAGCTACCAAACTAGGGAAAAGCAGTTTTGCGTGTACCTGAGGATGGTGTAGAAAGCATGTGGGCTGTTCTAGTGGGGAATTAGATGACCTCGAAAGTGCTTTCATATCTGAAATTTTTAGTTTTTTGAAATGGCAGTGTAAATGTTCTTTCTTAGCAAGTATAGGTTGATCGCTCACTTGACTTAAGAAGGGGACATATTGGGACAAACTGTGTTAAACACACAGTTTCTGAATTTGGGGGTCAGTGGAAACAAGATATAGCATTTTTCACTAGTATTGGGACATTTGTTTTTGCCTTTTTTAAAAAAAGGAATGTATACCCTCTGATGTAATCCCAAAGGAATTCTCCTCTTTGAGTTAACTTAGTGCCCCTGACTTCCCTTCCCACCCTGTCTACTTGACTGCTGTTTCCTCGGTGTGTCACAGAGCTTTGCACTTTTCATGTTAGAGAAAAATGAACGTGCAAGATCTGATTTTTAAAATTTACACATTTCTCTAATTTCTTAAAATTGTAGTGATAGAATGTGGAGAAAAAATAAGTGAGCTCTGGAGTCAGACTTGACTTGAACACTAATAACTCTATTACTAACTTAGAGACCTTACAGTTAACCTGTGAGTTGTATAGATCATTTCTTGTCTTTAAAAAGAGGCTAGTAATAACACCTATCTCCTGAATTTGTAGAGATAATTTATACATTTTTAACACAGCATCTGAAACACGGTCAATGTATAATATCAAATACCATCAAACAAATATTCTCAGTCTTTCTCACATCTTCACTTGAATAAAACCCTATAAAGATCACAGTGTCTTATAGTTGGATCAGGACTGATGGAAAGTGTCAGCTTTTGTTGTATTTTTAAAGTACAGCCATAGTGTAGTTTAGAAATTTTTTAGTCCAGAGTTACAGTGGAGAAGGCTGTGTTTATTTTACCACCTTCTTGAAAGGATTCAGCTTCTACCAAATAATGAATTTAGAGCTTTACAAGGCCTATGAGATTTTCATTCAAAGATTGTCTGAAAAGAATACTTAAGATTCTAATAACTAGTGGAAGACGTAGATTTGGACTGAGATTACTTCCTGTCTATTCTTTAATCAAACTGGCCTTTCAAAAAGAACCAATCATTCCTCAGGGTATTTTGTTCTAATTTTGATGTGGTGCTTTCTGGTACTGTTATTGGGCTCTTACAGTCTGAATTGATATGGGTAGGTCTTTGTTCTGGAGGAAAATTCTCAGGCTGCCTAAAGATTTGGAAAATACCTTTGTTTTAGTTTTACCACTCTGAGAGGAATGCAGCAGTAATAATGAATTTAGAGTTTGTTATGGAAATTCAGCTTAAAAACAGCATTTACATTGTCCTAAAACATACTTTACAGTGCAATTTTACATATTCTTAATCTTATAAATTTTTTGGAATATTTTTTGTGAATCAAGATGCCCTCTAATGTATACAACAAGTCAGTTTTACTATGATTTAATGTTTTCTAGATGAAGGTAATGAAACAGAGGTCCAGCCACAACAAAACAGCCAGTTAATGTGGAAACAAGGTCGACAACTACTCAGACAGTAAGTAACCCATAATCAAACTGAAGAGGAGAAGCTTATATTAAGTAGAATAATTTATCTCACATGATTATGCTGCTGTTGTGAGAAGCTTAAGTGAATTACTTTTTCTTTTTCATATTAAACATTTTTTATTAAATATTAATAAGTATTATCAAGAATTGATTCTTTTCATAATTTTATCTTCATAAAAAAGAATACAGTTTTGTCCTGGCTGGTGTGGGTCAGTTGATTAGGTGTGATCTTGCAAACCGAATGGTCGAGAGTTCAATTCCTGGTCAGGGCACATGCCTAGGTTGTGGGTTTGGCTCCCAGTTGAGGCGCATACAAAAGGCAACCAATCAGCATTTCTCTCTTACACTGATATTTCTTTCTCTCTCTTCCTCCCTCCCTTCCCCATCCCTTCCCCCTCTTTCTCTCTAAAAGCAATGAAAAAAAATATCTTCAGGTGAGGATTTAAAAAAGGACAATTTTAAGCTTCTAGATTTTATTATACACTTAAATTTATAGTTTGAAGAATTCCCTTGAAGTTACTCTTTTCTTCGCATCTTTTATACATGAATATACAAGTTTTAATATGTTTAATCAGCGTTAAATTTTGTTTTTAAACTTTCCATTTTTAATTGAAGAACTTTTCGATTTCCCCAAATTTGCAACCATTGCACTAACATCTGCTTTCTCGTGTGAAATGGTCATTTGAGACTACAAAGAGGAACAAAGCCGGGTCGAGGTTCAGAGGTCAGATGGTGGGCTAGAACCACACCAGCTCAGTGCCCGGTTCTCGCTTATCACATGCGAAACTGGTGTTCAGGTCTGTGCTTCAGGAAAATGAAATTCTTGTAAATAGTCAAATCTATGATTTCCAAAGTGGATGTATGCCAGCCACTCCTCTTGATGATGGTATGAGAATAGTGAAACATCTCCTTATATCTATTTTTCACCTACTCAAAGTTAGAAGAAAATGCGGTTTCACTAATATTTAATAAATGGGATTTTTACTAGTGCTCTTATTTTGGTCTTAAATATGATTTTTGTGTTTTCCTTTAATACATGTTCTTAATCTGCTGGGGGGGTTTTTAATGAGAAGTTTGTTATAGTGAGTAATCCAAGAGACATTTTCAAAAACTTTTGAAGAATGATAATCTTCCCTTAAAGGAAAGGTGGTAACTGTTTAGTAAAGCTGACATATCTGTGGAAAGTACAGTTTTTGAAACAGTTATTTATATTGTGATTTTGTTACCAAAGTGAAGTATGTGTCAAATACTATTGGTTAAAAATGGAAAAATATAATACCTTTGTATTAGTTTGCAAGAACAACTGATTAAATTTAGGAAAGTTAGACATTTATTATCCAGATTTTAATCAAACCCTTTCTATAAATATTGATTTCTCTAATCAATATTTCTATAAATATTGAATAGGATTGAAAAATAAGTGTCTTTATTTAAAAGGTTGCACTTACTCCATTTTGGTCATATATCTTTGTAAGGTATCTCTTTGAGATACCTTGAAACAAATTGAGCTTAGAGTGGTTATCTTGTCCATCTTTGTTTTCTCTTTCATCTCATAGACCAATCCTTACTTACATGAATGTCTAACATTTGTCTGTCATGTTTGTTTATGATGCAGTTAGTGACATTTGCCTTCTTCATGTTCCTGGCACTACCATTTTGTGGGGGGGCTGGTCATCTTTTTGTTACTGCACATTGAGTACCTTCTATACACCAGACACTGTATTAAGTGTGTCTCTTTTAGGGGAAAGAAAGCTGAGGTTCAGGAGAATTCGAGTATCAGGAAAGAAGTGGCAGAAATGGGTTTTAGACCTAGTTGTTACTGGAAATGCAGAGCCTATTCTCTTTTTCTCTGTGCTGCTGCTGCTCTGCCACACGCCCCCCTCCCAGTGCACCCAGGTGTCCCACATTCCACATTTGAATATTTCATTTGTGATCTTTTTTTTTATTTTACAATTGCCCCAGGCTAGAAGCTTCCCCATAGAAGTGACTCTTTGGAATATGCTACTTTCTTGTACATCACGGAGAAAACTATACATGCTAGAAACATTCTCTTTAGTTTTCAGTTGATCCAGTGACACTGTACATCAGAAATGTAAAAAGACTATTGGTTATGATGACTACTGTTATAAAATAGTAACTAAGTAGTATCTGAGACTGAGTTTACTCCAAAACTGTGTAGAAGAAAGAATGTGCTGTTAAGGAACATCTTCTTATGATAAATATAATGAATGGTCTATTGTATAGTTCTTTGATTTTTCTCAGTGACTGTAGAGACTGGTACTGCGAGAGACAGCTCCATCTGCAGCTGGAAGATTATTTATTAGCAAGTCCTACTAGCATAGTACTATACTGTTAAGTTTTATGCAGGCAGTGAATTAAAAAGAATACTTCTGTTTACACATTGAGTTATAGAGTGCTGATGTAATGTGGCGGAATTGTAAGGACCCCTTTCATACACAGGTATCTGCAGGAGGTGGGCTACACAGATACTATTCTAGATGTGAAGTCTAAACGAGTGCGAGCTTTGTTGGGCTTTTCAAGTGATGTCACTGACAGGGAAGACGACAAAAATCAGGACTCAGTTATAAATGGCACAGAGGGCGAAATTAAAGACGCGGCAATGATTGGGTAAGTATTTTATCTGGAAAGTGTTTTAGCTATGATTTTAATTTTTATTAAATGTATTTGGTTTATGGGTGATACGATACTTGTACTGTTAGATACTGCTACAGAAATAATTATACTTAGTCTAATAATTTAAAATTCATTTGGTGGAAGATAACATAGTGATTAGCATTAGTTATGGTTATTTTAAGATTTTTAATTTAAGATGTTAGCTTGCAATTTTTGGATTTAACACAGGTTTTAATACCTTGAAGCTTAGTCACTTATAAGAACTTCATAAAAGATCTTACTTTGGAAATTCAGTTCAAATCTTTAAGAGTGGAATTTCATTTCATATGTGTTACCCAGAAGTCATGTAAATACTGCAGATTCTCTGGAAGTAAACCTTCCCTTAGCCACTTTTGTTTATCTAATAATGCTGTAAGTCATCTTTCCTTTGAAAAATGTCTTTTAAGTATATATTTTTAATTGATAGAGTAAATGTGAAAAATTCAGTAGCTGTTTGAAATACTTTGTTTTGCTTTTTTGGATTGTGTATCATACAGTTATCTGTAATTCTGTTAAAATGGTCATGAAAAGTTGAGTAGGGGATCCTTCTTTATTGAAAAGAAGTTGACAGGATTCTTAAATAAAAAGCCAAGATCTCTGTGAAAGTCTAAATATGATGTTACTTTATTTTAATGTTTATTTAGGCTGGAAGAATGGTTTTAATTAAACTCTCGGTATGTTCTCAGTGCAGTGACTTTCAGTATGCAATACCTGATACTTAGGGACACTGACTTACTTTTCCTTAGATTGTCAAAAAAAAAAATGACAACAGCCAGCACAACAATAGCTGTCCAGTGTAAATGAATTAAAATCACACCCGATTTTTTGTCAGATAGGTCAGAAATATATTTTTTGGTGTGCCGCAGAATTTTAGTAATTACTTTGCATGTGCCATGAGATGAAAAAGGTTGAAAATAGCTGTTCTAGTGAGAACATAATTTCTGTTATCAACAACATAAACTGAAATTATAAGATTTAGGTAAAGGTTTGAAAACACAACTTTTGTGAACAGATATCTTTGGAGCCTTCTTAAATGTATTCATTAGTAATTAAAAATACATTAAATTGTTTTTATAAATGTGAGGCACAGATTGCTTTTCTGTGTAGACATAGACAACGTAGGCATTATTCTTGGTTATAGTTTTACCTAAAGTATGAAGTCTTTCTAAGGCCTTCTGAAAAGACCACTCTAGTTATCTTGTGTTTTGGCCTTGAACTGCCTTTTGAAGTTGACATGGGTATCATTCTGAATGCCTTATTTATGTAGAAATGAAGAATAGGGTGGGGAAACATAGCTCATAGCAGATTTGAAATTTATCATTTATCTGTTTTGAAAATTTTGTTCATAGCTGTGGATAAATTTTGTCATGGAAAAGCCTTCTAATCTAAAACATTTTTTAATGAACTAGAGAGAAATCATCCTTTCTAGCCAGTAAGAAATTGTTTATTAAATTTATTTTTAGAGAACTAAATTAAAAGCTTACATATTTGAAGTCATTTCCAAAAGTTGAATGTCCACCAATAGGATGAAGTTTTGTTGTAATGTTGATTTGACTACTATATTGTATTTAGTAATTTTATGTACATGAATGTACAAAAAGTAATTTTGTTTTTTTCCATTCTTTAGCTGTTCAGAAATATAAGATTGCATCAGAAAAAAATGACATTTTCTAGTTATTTTCTGAGTTATGTCATAGGAAGAGTTGCATAGAGGAAAAGAATAGAGGAACATAATGGCAGAGATAAAATATTTTTTTGAAGAAGTAGATGAAGGTTAGCTTAGGATCAAAACAATTCTGATTCAGAAGAAAGAGTTCTTTACCCTAGGTTACCATTAATCTAAATAGATAGGATTGCAAAAACTTTTAAATAGTAATCACTTCCTACATTGCTTTTCCAGTTAGAATTGAGGGAAATATAATGGATAAGAATCAGTGTTGTTCGTGATGTGATTTGAGGGGTCATAGTTACAATATAAACAGAAGTTAGTATGTCATATCACAGAATAATTCTTATGGTGAGTTTAAAAAATTAACTGAGCAAGATGTACATGTTTTAAACTAGGAAATCCGAGTTAACGGATCCTGCCTCTGTGCTGGATAATTTCAAATTCCCTGAAAATGCAACTGCAGATTTCAGTGATGAAGACGAAGATGATGACATTGATGGACGAGAGAAAAGCATCATTGATACTTCAACAGTAAGTTGGTTAACTCAAATATAAATATTTTTAGGGATTGTTATGCATACTTTAAAAGTAATCCACGTTGTTCAACCTAAATCCTTAACTTTTTCTTTCACGAATTTGGAGAAATTTAAAAGAATTTTTAATACTGAGTTGTTAATACTGATTTCAAAGTCAAGAGTACTTTTAGTGTAGTAGCTTTCTGTTGATGCCTTATTCTTTGACTTTTTGTTAATTCATTAAACTTTGAACATTTCTGCAGAGCTGGGGACTGTGGTGAACACTGTGTCACAACAGTGCAGTGTTATTGGTTGCTAGAAGACAGTAGAACTGACGCCTATCGTGGAGCCATCAGCTAATGGATGCAGTTTTGCTCTTGTCAGGGTTGCTTTGGCAGACAAGTTCTACAGACTTTCTGAACTCTCCCATTAGGTTTCTTCAAGCTTGTTTAGGGTTTTTGTGGAGTTTTGTTTACATATTTATGTTTATTGACTCTCCTTTGGTAGTTTTCTACAATAAGAGATGTTTCTAAATTGCTTCTTTTCCTTTCCCTTCTGTGTTCTGTCCCCTTCTACTGTCTCCTTTCCCCCCACCCCACTCCCTTCTTTTCTTTCTCCCTACTTATTTTTTTTTTTTTTAAGATTTTATTTATTTATCTTTAAAGGGGAAGGGAAGGAGAGAGGGAGAGAAAATATGTGGGGGGAGGGAGTTGGTTCGCAGGCCCGTGCTCAATCCACTGAGCTACACCAGCCAGGGCTGTAAAAGATTTTATTTATTTATTTTTGAGGGGAAGGGAAGGAGAAAGAGAGAGAGAGAGAAGCATCAGTGTTTGGTTGCCTCTCGCACACGCCCCACTGGGGACCTGGCCTGCAACCCAGGCATGTGCCCTGACTGAGAATCAAACTGGTGACCCTTTGATTTGCAGGCGGGTACTCAGTTCACTGAGCCACACCAGCCAGGGCCTTTCTTTCTCCCTACCTTTTCCCTGTTTAACTACCTTATTTCTCTTCTTCCTTCTTCTTTGCTCTTTTTAAAATAAGAGATGAGGGTGTGCTTTGCTTTATCTAGGAAAATGTTCATATTACCTCTTCTACTTTTACTTAGAAGAAGGAAGAGGAATGTAAGGTAATATAAAGAAGACTAGATCTTAAGTCAAAAGCCGTGGGTTTAAGTCCCATTTGTTACTAATTATCTCTGCCTAATCCTTCAGGGTTAGCTTTTTAGTTTGTACAATGAGGATTATAATACATAATCATCCTATGCCCAGAGGATTCTGTGAAGAATAAATGAGACACCATATATGAAAATGATATCATTACTGAACCAAGGGAGTTCAGCTGCCCACTGCCACCAAAAGGCAAAATCTAGGGCAGAGGCTTGTAAGAAAGGAAAAAGGGTTTTATTTGAACACTGAATAATCTGGTACCATGGGGGACTCCCTGTCTCAAAGCTCATCGACTCCACAAAACTCAGACAACATCCAGTCATCCTAAGCAAGACCAAAACAAAAGGCAGTGCCCAGAATTCCTGTTCCATTTTAAAGTGCCACTTTTTGGAACCTGAGGTGGCTGCTAAGTGGTCATCCAGGTAGCTTAGCTTATTCCCAGTTGCTTTCCAACTTCAGGCTACCTCCTGGAGGCTGTGAGTGGAACTGGCACCGCTGTTGGTCATGCTACTTCTAGGGTCCTGTACTCCCAGGCTGGAGAGTGCACAAAGGCACAGGTGAATGCTCCACGAGGTCAGCACCAGAGAGGGGTGCTCTCCTGGAGGCCGTGGGCCACGTGACTGCTAAGGTCGTGAGCCGCATGGAAAGGACAGTCTAGGACACTACACTGTCCTAGTGCAGGTCCTGAGCAGCGAGCCACAAGCAAGCACAGAACTTACTTTGTTTCCCTGTATTTAAATTAGTTTCAGGTGTGTGATGGACCAGGTGTTTTCTCAGCATGACCAATTAATTTCCTAAACTTTTACTCACTTTGGGTGGTCTACTTCCCAATTAATCTTTTCTTTTCCCCAGGCTAGACTGATAGACCTCTTTGATCTAGCACCTCCACACAATTTTAACTTCTTCTGTGCTTGTGCCTGCCTTCCCTTAGTCCCACTCCCAATCTGTACCTGAAAGGGGTAGGAGGGCTCTGTCCAGTTACCTTGCTAGCCTTGTGCATACTGAGTGTTGAGAACTTCCTCCTGTCATCATCTTGCCTAGGGGTGGAGGAGTGTGCATTGGTTACCTGGGCAGCGTGGTGACACCCACCACAGAGCTGTGAAACTCAGTGTTGTTGCCATGGTCTTGGGTGATCAATGAAATTATTGTCTGTCCGCAACCTCAGTACCCCAAGGAGCCTGGCTTAGTGCAGAAGTGTCCCAGGTTCCCTCTCGTGGCCTACCTTCATCTCCCCCAGCATCCCCTCCTGTTTCCTGCCTCAGTCCACTCCCAGCAGTCTGGACAGCCTGTCTGTCAGTAATCAGTATATTTAACTATACGGTGTTTTCTATGCGTAACTTCTCTGTTTTTTTATGCCCTCTGCTTCCATCAGAGACTCTCAAAGTATCGCTTCCAGATTATTGTTTCCCTGGGCTGCTATTCAGTTGTATTCTGCTGATACAGCCCTGCCATGGATATTATTTGAACTTTAAGAAGATACCCCTTTTTTATTATCCAAACAACTAGTGATGACACGTGCTTTTAGTTACTGTAGTAAAAGAAAATGCCTAAACTTGCATGGTATTTTTTTGTCCTAATAATTTAGAAATTTTGTGTTCCCTTGTGATTTCTATGAGGTAATTGCATTGAGATACTATTTTCCTGTGAAAATAATGTATTTATAGCTCAATGGTAAATAATAACTAATTATGGTGCTTTAAGTTTGTTAGTTATTATATCAGTTTATATATTTTAAAAATCTATAAGCTGATTATTGTAATCATCACCTATGATCTCACTAAAATTCCTAACTATAAACTGGTTTCTTTTTAAGTAACCAAATTTACAAATATCCTGTCTTCCAGTTAGTACAGGACATAGCAATTCTGTGACCAAGTAATGAAGACACAGCTAATGTAAAAATACTTAACCCCATTGAAACATTGGACTAAAAAATTCTTGTAGTTCTTCAGGAAAAAAATATTTCTAAACAAGTAATTGTTTTTTTCACAATAGTCTTGCTAACTTTTATGATATGTTAATTTTCACAGCTGTAGTGTAATAGTCTAACATGCCAAAGGGACTTAACAAATCTAACTCCAGCAATGAATACACATGACTTAGAAGATTTATTGCAGTACTGTATATAAAAAGTGAATGGCTGAAAATTATCCTATTAAAATGTTTAGTAGAACAAAGAGGTTTTTAAAAATATTTTATTTCTTTAATCAAAATAGTTTATTAGATTCAACTAAGAAAATACAGAAACTTACAGCTCTTGGTAGCTGTTGGTTGTTTTTGAAAACTGCGTTTGTTCCTTCTTACTCTTTGCCCTTTGCTGTTTTGATTGTTCTTTGAATTATATTCTGGATAATTTTTCTTCTCTCCATGTCCATCTCTTTCCCTAAGATCATCCTCTTCATCTGATTTTTCTTTACCATCATTATCAGTATTGTCATCATCGTGTCATTTGTTAAGTGTAATAATGATCTTGAAATTATATACACATATAAAATGTGATCAGTTTTGAACTACATAAAGGAAAATGTAAGCAGCAACATTGTGTCAGCATCCAGACACTTTGGGAGGAAAAGCTAATGGGATTAAGAATCATGAACTATTACTGTTTTAGTCAGTGTAAAGAATCTCATCCCCATTTGTGTTATGCCTCTTTTAATGCTTTCTAAAGTGACAGCTTATCTTTTTTTCTAATCTTAGCACCATGTGCAAGCCTTAACTTTTTTGTGTTTGTCTTAATTTCTTAAATTGATTCATAAGCTCAGTTTCTGGAGTGGAACCTTGGATATAAGGAAGAAACTAGTATATGCTTATCACAACAAGCTCCACCCATTCGTATTTACTAATCCTGCTCTCCACTGGTAACCACAGTTCACTTTTCTTCTATGTCTAACTATTAAAAATACAGGAGTTTTTGTTTATTAATTTAAATGACATACTTAATAGACAGTTGTTTTCAACTTGCCATTTAGCTTCCCTCTTTGTTAGTTTATATAGAGGAGATGAGTACCTAGAAACATTTTTCTCAAAGAGTTAGTTTTGTGACTTAATGCCATATTTAGTGTGATCTGATGTTGGCAGTACGTTCAGACTTTTCACCTACAGTTCCAGATACTTCTGTATTTTCCCTGCCCTTTTTTGGTCAGGCATTGAGAACATAGATTTTCTGTCTATAGGATATTGGTGATGATCCCTCCAGATTCTATCTGATGATCCATCAGGGTCCTGAAAAGGGAGGAATCAAGCCTGTAAGCAAAGGAAGGTGGGTTAGGCATTGCATTTGTATCTGGTACTATGGAGATCAGCACCTTCTGTCGGTGTAAACTCTTCAGAGACACTTCTAACTTAGTGTGCCTGCCCAGAGAAAATTAGAACAAATTATTACCATATGGTAATAATCTGGTTTGTGAATACTTATAAAAGAATATGCCTTCAGCGTGGGTTTTCTGTTCACATTCTGTCAAATTGATCTTGCTGTTTATGTTTGTCTAATAGCTTCGCTAGTTGGTATTGGGAAATGCTGTAAAAATAAAAGTATTTCTTGATTTTAGGGAAATTACTAAATAGTTAAACCATTTATTCTAGCATCATTAAAGAATCCTTGATTTCTCCTATTCAGTTTTTATGTATACCAGAACAGTTAAGGCAGATTAGGTTTTATGCACTGTGCCAGCTTTCTGCAGTTGATAGGGCTTCCTGGAGTGCTGCATTGGAGAAGGGTTTCTGAGGCTGTATCTGGTCTTAGATGAACAAACAAGCAAGCAAAATAGAACCAGAGACATTAAAAATTAAGAACAATCTGACAGTAACCAGAGGGGAGGTGGGAGGGGATAATGGGGGGATGAGGGTAGGGTTTTCAGGAACAACTATAAAGGCCACATAGACAAAACCAAGGGTGGGTGGAAGCAGGGTGGAGATAGCTGGGTCAGGGCGGGAGTGGTGGAGGGTAAATGCAGACAACTGTAACTGAACAATAAAATAATTTTTTTAAATGCCATACATATATACCTTATTTTTTCTGTCTCTGAACTTTTCATGTATGTGGAGTCTTTGGCTCTCATGTATATGAGGTTCCCCTATGTACACATATAATTAAATTTGGTTATTTTTCCTCTTGTTAAAGAAAAAGAAAAGTACTGTGATTGACAAGTAGTATTAGTCACAAGCATGAGAACAGGGCCACCAAGTCAGGTAATGTTATCTCTTAGAATCTAGTTGGAGAGTCTTCAGTTTGTCCCATTGATCTGTTTGTTGAACCATTATAATTTTAAATTACTCAAAATAGTGTGGTGATCAAGTTTGATCAGATTATGCTATTTTTATTTTATTTTTATTACGAAGTAAAAAAGCTGAGATCTGGAGAAGCTGAGATGCTCAGTCCATGTAATCAAAAGAAGCTGCAAAGCAGTAGTGCTAATTTCTTTGGACTCCTGGTGTGGTGACCAAAAAGGAGAATTTTCATAAATAGTATTGGCATATAGATCTCAAAAATCATATCTGCATGGATTAAGCCTAAGTTTTAATCTTCCAACTGGATTTGTGATTCCAGAGATGTTCCTAAATATATAAAAACAAGACATAACAGCCCTTACTAGATTTTCTGTTAAATCTAAGTCAAGTCTTACTCTGAAACATCAATATTTTAGGAAAAACTTGAATATATAGAGACTTATTAGAGAATATTGATGCAAGGTTGAGACAGTAGAAATAATAATGTGAACCCCAAAACCCCACCACCAACAGAATACCTTCTAAGTCTTGAGGCAAGAATTACTGAGTTTGTACTTTTTGTGAATGTAAGTTTTGTAAGGCAACGATGTATTAGAGCTAAAATTTATCATGGTTATATTCTGAAAGCTCTTGCAATGATTTATGAAGTGTTTTCTTTCTTTAGTTAGATTAGAATGTCTGTACACTGCACAAACTGCATCCAAGAAATATAAGATTAGGTTGTAGTTTTAATAATACAGTATTTTGAAGACATATCTGTAATTTAAATGCATGTCTTATATACCAGTGTTTTCAATATGTGCTTCTATTAGTTTATTTAAAACAAGCCATCATTGAACAAAATTTAAATTACTACTTTAAAATGTGTAATGTGTATATTTTTTAAAGTGACATCTGTGTTTCCCACTGCTGAATAGGTATTACAGTTACTTAACAAAATAAAGTTACACTTTTGGAAGAAAACAATAATTGGGGTTCCTCATACAATGGTAAAGGGATACCTTCCCCTTTATTTTAATTAATTTCATAATATATTTCAATGTAGCATATTTTTTTCCATTAGATTGTTAGGAAAAAAGCATTGCCTGATAGCAGTGAAGATCGAGATACAGAAGAAGCTCTAAAGGAATTTGACTTCTTGGTTACGTCGGAGGAAGGCGACAGTGAATCTAGAAGTGCAGGCGATGGAACAGACTGGGGTAAGGAAGGCACCGGGTCCAGCCCGAGGTCTTACATAAAGAGAGAAACGGATATTTCACCCAGAGGGCAACACCTTGAAGAACACCGTAATCTCTTACAGTGTTGAAATGTTGGACAGCCTATGAACTTTTTATTCCTGTCACCTTTTGTCTAGAGGGTATTGTGTGTGTTAGTGTTTAAAGAAGTTTACACAACTAATTACCTCATTTAAAAAAACGTAAGTGATGCAAAATGAAAGTAATTTGAACTTATATATAGAATGGTCTCTTATTTTCTGCCTAGACAGAACTTGCAAATCTAGATTTTGTGGAAATTGAGTATGACAATGCATTAGAGCAGCAATTTTCAACCAGTGTGCCACAAAAATTTGTAAAACATGCAGTACCTGATTTTTTTAGTTCGGGCACTGACCTCTTTTCCCTTAGATTGTCAAATTAAAAAATGACAACAGCCAACACAACAATAGCCATTTGGTGTGAATGAATCAAAATTATACCTATTTTTGTCGGATAAGCAAAAAATAATAGTATTTTAGTAATTTGTTTATGTGTGCCACAGAATGAAAAAGGTTGAAAATCGCTGCATTGGAAGATTTTAAAGATGTTATCTGTGGCATCATCTGTGCAAAAAAGAAGTATAAGTTAAAAAATTATAGTTATTCATTCTAGTCAAGTTACATCAGTTTATAGAAAGCATCAAATTTTTTGTGTGCAAATTGTTATAAACATTTTTAATATCTTAAACACTTAACAGGTATTTTGGAATGAGAGAAAAATTATCTTCAGAACACCCTTAGTTTGTAGTCTATGCACTTTAATGGCAGATTTCCATTCAGGGATTCTGATAATTCTAATACCATTTCTTTTCCTTTTTCATGGCAAATATTTGAAGGATTATTTGGGATAATTACTTGAAGTCATAGTATGAAAAATATAATGACTTTTAGTCACAACTTTTTTCCCCCCAGTGGAACAAAGTTTGGAAACCAGGGGAAGTTAAAGTGAAATGAATCTCTCTTCTGTCTTGTTCCCTAATGAGCTTATATATCAAGTTATTCAGATATTTCAGGCAGCAATTCTGCCAATATTGCTAGATCCACTGTGCTGCACAGTGGTCTTTCTTTGAGGAGTCATACATCTGCATAAGTAATACTTGCCTCTTACTGGGATTCATTCTTCTAAAAAGACAGCTGTATTGTCCCTTGTGTAACTTCCTTTGCTTTAAGGTGTGAGTCGTGTCCCATTATATTATATGGTACATGTGTGTACATTTTAACCTAACTTGCTATGAAGTTACTGCTGAAAACATGAGTGGCTGTTCTCACATCTGATGTCTCACCCTTTTAGTAAAGTACTGGACATTTCTGTTTATGAATATGAGTGAATGGAATCTTTCAATGAGCTGGAGGTTTCTTTACCAGTGTTGTAAGGATTTTATAATTCTAATTCAAAGCATTTCACTTTTAAGCAATTAAAAAGATGCTTCCATTCCTGTGTAGTTGAAGGGACCTTTAAACCATTTTAAGTGCTTCTTTTATTCCTCATCAGCCCCCCCCCTTAAAAAGTAAATATGTTTAGGTTCAGAATCTTGTTAGTTTTTGCCAAAAATAGATTTTACCGCACATCTTCTGTGACTTTCCATTGCTCTTACTAATATGAGTCTGGTTAAGATTATGTATGATAAGGCTGATTTTTCTTAAGACTAATATTTGTTTTTAAAAAAACTGAAGGCATTTTAGTATGCAGAAGCCAACCAATTTAATTAATTAGCAGACCTGACTGATGAAAATTAACATTTTTCTTTTCTTTTTTATTTTTTCTCTTTCTTTTTCCTTTTTTAAAAATTGTTGTTCAAGTACAGTTGTCTCCATTTTCCTTCCACCACTCCCACCTACCGCAAGAAAATTGCTAAATCTTTCTGGAAAAATAGGTTTTTTATTGATAGATTATAGTTTAGTCTATAAAAATGTTGAGGCTCTTTGAAGAAAATTGTGTTTAGTATTTTCACAGGTCTGATAACCAGTGTGTTTGTTTGTTTATGATCCTCACCCAAGGATATGTTTAGGGATTTTAGAGAAAGAGGAATGGGGTTGGGGGAGGCAGAGATAGAGAAACATTGATGCGGGAGAGAAAGAAACAGTGATCTGTTGCCTTCCGCACACTCCCCGACTGGGGATTGAACTTGCAACCTAGCTATGTGCCCTAACCAGGAATTGAACCCTCAGTCTTTTGATGTATGAGATGATATTCCAACCAACTGAGCCACCCAGCCAGGGTATAACCAGTTTTTTAAAACTGTGGATTGGAACTTGTTAAAAATAGACATATTACTGTTTATTCCAGGCAGTCATTCAACAAATACTGATCAAATGCCTTCTATTTACCAGTCTTCTAGGTGAGAATCCTTATCTCTGTTGTCCCTGCAGTCTACTAAGGACAATATATAGGCAATAAGCGATAAACATGATGCATGATATAGTATGTCAGAAGGTGGTAAAAGCTATGGAAAACAGAAAAAGAAGAATCGAATAAGGGGGATAAAGAGTTCTGGTGTCGATATGGGGTGGGGGAAACAGGTTGCAATTTAAAATAAAGTGGTCATGTAAGTGCCAAGAGAGGGTAACATTTGAGCAAAAACTTGAAATAAGATTGGTAAAAATAAGGAAGATAAGGAAGTTAGGCATATAGTATCTGGGGAAAGCGTTCAGGAAGCATAGAGCCAGAATAAATGCCCTAAGATAGCAGTAGCCCTGGTATGACTGAGGAATTCCAGGAAAGCAGAGCGGCTGGAACAGAGTTTCTCTAAGGGCAATATAGTAAGTAGCAACCAAATCATGTAGACCACTGGTTACCAGTGGGTTACAGAGACCACTAGTGAGATGGGGAACCATGGGAGGGTTTTGGACACAGGATGGCAGGATCTGATTTTTATTTTAAAGCATTATCTGACTGCTGTGTTGAGAACCCAGGGCAACCAGTATGGATAATTGGCTTGGTGGGGAGAGAGGACAACTGTTGCCGTGATTCTAGCAAGAAGGAGTGTGGTTAGACAAGTAGTAGACATGCTGAATAGTAGTCAGATTCTAGATGTGTTTTGAAGGTAGGGAAAACAGTATTTACTAAAATAGTTGATGTTGGGTGAAAGAGGGGGTTTGGTCTGAGCAAATGGAAGTGTGGAATTGCCATCAATAAAGTGGGGAATCCTGTGGATGAAACAGATTGGATGCGGGAGGTTGGCAACTTGGCTTTCTGTGTGTAGTTTGAGATACTATGAGACTTCCTAATGGAAGTGTGGAATGAACTGTTGGATACATGAGTCTTGAATTCAAAGGAGAGTTTTTAACTAACATATAACATTATAGAGTATACAAATTATTTCATAGTAAGTATAAAATATATAACATTCTGCATATTTTCTTTTGAAAGAGTAAAAAGAATTTCTTTTCTGCTAGAATCTCTGTTTTCTTTTTAAAGAATTTATAAACTAACAAATCAGATTGTTTTAAATTTTGAATGCAGGTTGATTGTGAAGCTTTCAAGTATTCCTTGAGTCGTGTAAAATAAAAGTGTTGATGAACACATGCCAAAAAAGTAAAATTTTTGAGATGAAAAGATTATTGAAGACTATTTTGTAGACTCTCTTAGTAATAATTGCTAATTACATAAGTTAACTAAAAATATTTGTGATTCAGCCCTAATTGAATTCAGAAAATGGAATAAAAATGAGGGGTTCCTGATTGTAGAGTTTTGGGGCTCAATTTACTAAAAGTCACTCATATCTTTCAGGGTGTTTTTTTTTTCTGTGTCTCTTTCAAGAGAAATTTAATTTTACCTAGGAAATAGAATTGGTCTCTGTTTCTTATATATTGTATTTTGTGTGACATACGGGTAATGTCTTTTTAAAATTAATGTTATTATGGGGAAAATGTTCATCATGTCATTTATTGACATAACAGTGAATTGACTTACAGTGTTCAGTATTTTATTGAAAAAGGCTGTTTCATTTGTTTCACTTTATTTAGAAAAGGAAGACCAGTGTCTCATGCCTGAAGCTTGGAATGTGGACCAGGGAGTAATTACCAAACTCAAGGAACAATACAAAAAGGAGAGAAAGGGGAAAAAGGGGGTGAAGAGTAAGTGGAAAACATTGTATCTATAATTCATAAATCTTGCCTCTTTCATATTCCCCAATTTTTTTCAATGTTTTCCTAAAACTACTTACTCTTTCTTTCTACTCCTGACCTCTTTCTTTTTCACCTGCTCTCAGGGGTTGAAATTAAATGGTTAGCTATTTAATTATGAACTTAAACAATCAAAATAAAACAAAACTATGCATATGATTATGGAATGATGATATACTAATAGTGAATCCCCAGCCTCATGAGAGTGTGGGACTATGTATTTAAATATACTGATAATTTGGTTTTTATAAAATATATGTGCTTAATTACAATAATGACTTTTCACTGTTGACAATTTTAGATGATTTTAAATTTCATTTAGTATGACACACTGGCAATCCACCAAAATTATTGCTTATAAATTGTAGAATTGGAGACAGAAAGTTAATTTCTACCCCTGGATATTCTATGTGTTCATAATGCACAGTTCGTGTGGCTTCACCATTATATGCTATACAGGGCACAGATACACAATTTCTAAACGTACTTGTTTTCTAATTTAACACTTTCGGCCAGTTTCATTTATAATGTTACCAATGAGCTTTTTTTTTCCCAAGAAAATGTGTGCCACATCAAAAAAATAGAAGCTAAAATTAAATTTCTAGCCCTGTGAATCATATATAATTCATTAAAAGTATTAATAAAGTTTAGCAATAGATTTAGTTAAGCATGTAAAATGAAATACAATAGCTTTCAAACACCCCTAAAAACCTTAAATATCTTTTTAGGAGAGCAAGCTTAAACTATCTCCTCGCGCTTCCACTCATTAACAATATGAATTTGGGTCCTTTTTTATGGCAGTAGGAATTTCATCCTTTGGGATATTAAAGTAGTGTAAGGTGAGATTAAAATCCAGGTTAATGAAACATGTGTTTAAAAGTTGCAAAAGACTGGAAGGATATTTTTTTCTTTTTATACTGATGCTAAAGCTTATCAAAGACCAGTAATTCCTGTTAGGACATTCTTTTATAAGCTAGTAATTACTGGAAAACATTTAAATCTTTATTTAAAATATTTTAGAATTTACAAGTATTTAGCCTGAATGCTTAAAAGACAGTGGCCATTATTGATATTATCATACCAGCCATTACATAACTGAGAGATGATATCATTTAGTCTTATCTGAATATAAGTTAAATCAATATAAATATTAAAACAAGAATATTTATAACTTTTATCCAAATAAACTTATAAAAATTAATGTTAACAAACAATAGTGAGGCATGATTTGTTATGGATTTTCAGAATCATGATGAAACCAACTTAACTGAAATTTTGTGGAAAATTTGTACATCATACATGAGAAACAAGGAGAATATTTTAATTTTTAGACTGACTTAAAGTTGATGTATTTCTTTAAGTCATTATGTTATAATAATGTCTTGAAATGTGAAAGATTTTTAGATTGGAATGATATAGGACATGTGTAAAATCCACCAACTACTATATGGATTTTTTGGTTCTTATCAAATTATATCAAGGCATCACTGTAGTTGAAATTTAGCACTTAAGATCTAAAACTGCACCATTTGACTGGAACAGTATTCCTATTAATAGAAATTACCAGATTTCCTGAATCTGGGGATTATGATCAGTATTCATGCATAAAGCAAAGTTTCTTGGCATGATGAAGGAAAATGACTCCGTGAGGGGTGACCCCCCTCCCAAATCTGGAATTATCTTCTGAAGGGTGGGCCCTTTGTAGTACAGGCTTCCCCAACTAGGTGAGTGTTCTAGGAACCCATCCATATCCAGTGTACCAGCTGATGTTGTTGGGAGAGACTGTGTTGGGACTCATTGAATTTTTTTTGAAGACTTTCAATGCATTTACTGATTTCATAATGGTTGTACAAAGTCACCTGTGCACACCGCACTGAGTGTTCCGCAGTCCCCCACACCCCACCCTTTCTGTACACTTGATCTCACCCTGAGTGACTTTTTTTTGTTTCCCTGGATGAAAAAAGTCCTCGAAAGGAAATGCTTTGCCCCTGTGCAAAATGTCAAACAAACAAACAAACAAACACAGTAGTAGTGAAAGGTATCAAAATTGACAAATTTAAAAACTTTTGAGCAGTGGAGAAAATGTCTTGATAGGTGTATTTCATCAAATGGAGAGTGCTTTGAAGGTGACTGAAGTTTAGACATGTGAGAATAAATACACAATTTTTTATTAATAAATTCCAGGTTTTTTGGGGGGTCCCCTCTCCTATGGGGAGAAGTTTTAATGTCTTTCACTGAAGATAGACTAGACTGAGGCTCAGCACGTTTTGTTTGCATTGTCAGTTCATATTACCTGGATGAATGGTAGTCTAGGAACAAGTCGCAGTGATAAAAACAGAACTGAAGCAAAGCTTTGAATTGAGAAATGAAGAATGAATTCATAATTCACCATATTAATTAAACTGTTTATTCATTGGAAAAGTTTTAATTCTTTTAATATGTTCTAAGTAGAAATATTTCCAGTCAAATTGTGTACTCCAGTCTCATTGTCTTGAAATATATTTTTAGGTATTAGTTAAAATTGCTTGTACTGGTTTAGGAAAAAAACCGTAACAGACTATGGGTAAGATTTCCCATTCTTAATTAAACTTATAACAGGAAAAACTACCGAAGATCTGTTTCAGCCTCTATCCTATATAAAACAGTCAAAACAGGGATGTGAGAGAATGAAGGATCAAACTTCTGGTAAGTAATCAGCAGGGCATGAGACTTCACCTTGGGTACCATAGCTTCAAGATGTAAGGCAATGGATGCAACTTAATTTAAACAAACAAAGTGATATTACTGTTTAATTCAGTACATAGCAGTAGCTTCACCATCTGTGGTGTCTGTCTAAATTAAGAGTAATATCAAGGATTATAGAATATTATTTTTAATGGTCTAAATTGCATATGAGCATTTTTCCATGTAAACAGTGATGTTATTCCCTTAATTTTTAAAATACCTATATGTGTAAAATATAAGTCTTTTCAAGAAATATACTTTTAAAATAACTTGAAAACTTGAAAAATAATTACTGTTTAATATAGTAGGGTGGCTTTCAAGGTGAATATTGGACTTGTGAATAAATAAAGTTTTATGGCACCATTTTAATGCAGTTGGATAATTCTATTTCTTCTCTTTTGTTCTCTCCCTCCCTTTTTTGGGCTAGGACCCAACAGGTCAAAACTACAAGATATGCTCGCTAATTTAAGAGATGTTGATGAGCTTCCCTCATTGCAACCATCTGTGGGTTCACCTTCCAGACCTAGCAGCTCCAGGCTTCCTGAACATGAAATAAATAGGGCAGACGAAGGTGAGTATTTAAGACACTCTGGAGCACAACATTTGGATATACATATCTAAATTCATATTAGAAAGGACTCTCTAAAAGAGGAATTGCGGTCGACCAATATTTGATCTATATATTCCCCAAATGTAGGTTTTCTTACATTCAGTGGGGTTTGACTCCAGTTCAGTCTTTAAGACTTAAAAAGGGGTGTATACACATCAAAAACAACTCTAAAGTCTATCTTTGCAGTTTCAGGTAAAGCTTCCTTTGCCTGTGTGTGCTGTATACATTTATAACTTTATTTTTTATGGTATTAATTTAAGAAGGAAAGCCACACTTAAGAGGCGCTGTAGTAAGTTCTAGAGAATCTTATTAATGAAATAAGGTTATGCCTATTGTTGCTTTCTCTCACTTCAGCCCTCAAATCTGCTGGTTTAGTTATTGGTACCTGTTTTCAGGTTGTGCTTGACCATTTCTAGAGCATTAGCTAAATTAGCCCAAACAATATGTTTGGTCAGATTCCACAACTCTTAGTCTTTATTTGAATAGTAATTTTTGTTTAACTCCTGAATAATCTTATCTGAGAATACTAGAAATGGAAACAAAACAAAACACCAGACTGAAGACTTAGTCTCATAGTTTTACATGAGTCATTTGGTTGAAATTTTGGCACAAAAATTGCTTTTCTAATTTAAACAATCCCCTCATCAATTGTAAATGTTTAGAGTTCTTTGAATTCCCCCAGAGGATATATGGTATGTTCTGGTAAAACCCATTTTTTGAAATTATTACTGCTTTATTGTGTGGTAATTTGAAAATGTCTTAATTTGTACTCTCCTCTGTTCTTACAAGGATTTTAAGTAGAGTTTCTACACAGACTAATTAATATGTTGATTTGTTACTCTTAAGGAAAACTTAATTTACTTCTTTAACAGTCAAAGTTTACTAAATTCATCTAATTAACTCAAATATTTGTCATCAGTAAAGTAACTAGTTATAGAAAACTACTGGAAGACTATCCATGAGTTTGTCAGAATAATTTGCATTGAAAACAAGTGATGTTTTATTATTGGCCAAATTAAGTCAAATCATTATTTTATATAATAAATTTGGCATTTTACTTTTAACTGGTTCTTCTGTGATAACGACTGAAGGGATTACATTGATATGTCCAGTATTATAACATAAGGATATTTATATTTATCACCACATAAATCTGACATCTTGAAATGTACTTGGAAACTAAAGAGAAGTGTTCAAATGGACACTTACAGTTTTTTTGTTTGAAATAAATATTCTTTAGTGAAGTATAGCATGCCTACAGAAAACTGCTCAAGTCACAAAAGTGTAGCTCAGTGAATTATTATAAAGTGAACCCAACCATGTCACTGCTGCATCAAGGAGTAGAGCAGAGCATGGCCAGGGCCCTAGAAATCCTGCCAGTGCTGCCTTCTGATCACCGCCCCTTCTCCTCTGCAGAGGTAATCCTCAATTCTGTCCTCACGAACAAGTTTGCCTCATAGGCACATTTTACCATTGTAACCATTTTCATTTGAAATTTTCTTTTTTTTTTAAGTGTATTTCATTGGTTATGCTATTACAGTTGTTCCATTTTTTTCTCCCATTGATTCCCCTATGCCCTGTACCTCCCTCCCACCAGTATTGCACCCACCCCCCCTTAGGTCGTGTCCATGGGCGTACATATAAGTTCTTTGGCTTCTCCATTTCCCATACTATTCTTAACCTCCCCCTGTCTAATTTGTATGTACCATTTATGCTTCTTATTCCCTGTACCTATCCCCTCCCCTCCCCGCATAACCCTCCATTTGATCTCCATTTCTGTGATTCTGTTCCTCTTGTAGTTGTTTGCTTAGTTTTCGTATTTAGGTTCAGCTATTGATAGTTTTGAGTTTGTTGTCATGTTACTGTTCATAGTTTTTGATCTTCTTTTTCTTAGATAAGTCCCTTTAACATTTCATATAATAAGGGCTTGGTGATGATGAGCTCCTTTAACTTGACCTTCTGGGAAACACTTTACCTGCCCTTCCAATCTAAATGATAGATTTGCTGGGTAGAGTAATCTTGGATGGAGGACCTTACCTTTCATTACTTGGAATACTTATTTCCAGCCTCTTCTTGCATGCAAGGTTTCTTCTGAGAAATCATCTGATAGCCTTATGGGAGCTCCTTTATAGGTAACTATCTCCTTTTCTCTTGCTGCTTTTAAAATTCTCTCCTTATCCTTTAATCTTGGCTAATGTAATTATCATGTGCCTTGGTGCGTGCTTCCTTGGATCCAACTTCTTTGGGACTCTCTGAGCTTCCTGGAATTCCTGGAAGTCTATTTCCTATACCAGATTAGGGAAGTTCTCCCTCATTATTTTTTCAGATAAATTTTCAATTTCTTCCCCTTTCTCTTCTCCTTCTGGCACCCCTGTGATTTGCATATTGGAACATTTAAAGTAAACCTCTCCTCAGTTTTTTGAATCTTGTTTCTTCATTCTGTTTTGGTTGAATGTTTTTTCCTTCTGGTCCAAATTGTTGATTTGAGTCTCAGTTTCCTTCCCTTCACTGTTGGTTCTCTGTATATTTTGCTTTATTTCATTCTACATCTGATAGGTTGGCTATCTCTTCTTCACTTAGTTCTGTATTTGGAGCTTTGATCTGTTCTTTCATTCGGGCCATATTTCCTTGTCTCGGTACACCTGTTACATTGTAAGGGGCAGAGCCTTAGGTATTTGCCAGGGTGCAGCAACCCATGTCGCTTAGTTGTGGTGCTGTGTGTGGGGAAGGGGTCTCCGAGAGGAAACAATGCCACTTGTTCTTGCTGTCCACAAGCAAATTGGACCCGTCTGTTGCTGCTTCCCAGGTGGGTGGGTTTGTGTATGTTCTACAACCCTGTGGGCCTCTCCCACAAACTCTCCTGTGAGGCTTGGAGTTTTTCCCGCTCCTGCAACCTCCATAGGATTTTACAGCCAGAGGTTTTGGGGCTTTATTTACCCATGCTTGAACCCTGGGTTGCATGGTCTGTCTATCTCCCCAGTTGTTCCTACCAGTTAATCTTAAGGCAAGTGTCAGACTGCCCAGTCCACCAGCTGCCACCGTCCTCCAGCCACCTCCCTGTTGCATGTCCTCTGCACCCTGGCTGCCCGTCTCTGCATCGCCTACCAGTGTGCAGGAATGTTTCTTCAGTTGAATTTCTGGAAGTTCTGGTTATTTTTTATTTTTAAATTTGTTGTCCTTCTTTTGGTTTTATTAGGAAGCAAAGTGTATCTACCTACGCCGCCATCTTGGCTGGAAGTCTGAAATTTTCTGTATTTCTCCAGATTATAGAATTAACAATTTTATTTGAATCATACCAGGAATATCCGGAATCACTTGTTATATATGTTTAATAGTCGATGGAAATAATTTGTGTAATTACCATGAATTATCAAATGAGGAAAACCGATTCACATTTTTTTATGTGTAGTGAAAAACAAAGAATAAAACTGTTGGGTTCATTTGATGTTTTACTTTTCTACAATAATTAGATGATACATTTAGCTATGGTTATATATGGAAAAAGCAACCAGTTCTTCAAGATTTTCTGCACACTGAATTTTATTGCATTTAAAAGCATTAAAAAATAATCAGACATGCCTTTATGAGACTAATTGTCGACTCTTTAGAAGTGCTTTTATGTTTCTTGTGTCTTCTTTCAGTGGAAGCACTCACATTTCCTCCTTCTTCTGGGAAGTCATTCATTATGGGAGCAGATGAAGCTCTTGAAAATGAACTGGGACTTGGAGAATTGGCAGGCCTTACAGTTGCCAATGAAGCAGATACACTAACTTATGATGTAAGTGATAGTTTTGTTTTTTATTGTTTTTACTCATTTTTTAAAGTAAAAAGTTAATTTTATAGAAAAGGATGGCAATAAAGAAGCAAAGGTATAGAGTTTTGTTTGTGAGGGGCGGCCAACACCCTCAGGGCCCCTCAGGCCGCCATGGATGAGAATAAGTCTACCAAGACATGATCTGTTTGGGGCGGAAATGTGGCCAATCTCTGAAAGGAGAAGGGCCAAGAGCCTTTTCCTCAATGGGCTTTTATTGGGTATTTTTGCACAGGAATACAGGTAAAGCTCATTAATCATTGTGAGGCAATAAGGATCAAATAATAGATAACAAAGAACTCTGAGGGCCTATTTTGATTCAGGATCAAATAGCTAAAGAGCTATAAAACTTTGAGGAACAAATTCACTTCTTGCTTGGACCCTTATTAATTGAGAGCATTCTAAACAAAGTAGGTTTTACAGGATTTTACATATTATTTCTTATGCCTGATTGCCCTAGGGAACCTGCACTTTCCAGTACCAGGGGTATCCACCACCAGCATTGTTTCAGGCTTAAGTCATTGTCTCAGGCTTAAGTCAGGCAGGGGTAGTATGGCAGCCAAAAGATTAGGAGACTTCTCGAAGACAGAATGAGGACTCAGGCTATGTCAAAGCCGAGAGGCGAGGGTTCATCACCCCCTTTTGCTGTAGCCCCCCAGGTCCTTCCCTGGGGCCTCCCCATGATTGTGCCTGTCTTAGGTCATTCCCCCCTTGGGGAATCTTACCTGTCATTGGCTAACTGATCAAGCATTGGGGGCCAATTATGGATGAAGAAAAAGGAGCAGAAGTGGTACCCATGCCAGGGAGATAAGCCTTGTCTCCTTAGTGGCTTATGGTCTGAAGGTTGCTCACTCAGCCTTAGCCATGGGGGGTTACAACTTCTGAAAACAGCCAGGGTGGTTCCCAACATTCATTCATTTTAATTACAAACTTTGAAAACTTGAATATATTATCAAGATAAATGATAATTTCCACTTCATATAGAGATTAAAATTATGGGCTCTACCTAAACCTGTAAGTTGGTATTGCTTGTTTATTGCTTTTAGATAAAGGAAGGAATTCCCTTTTCCATTACTAAATTTGGGTTTTGTTTTATGTTTTAGGGCATCAGTGGTTAATTGAAATTCATGTCTGCCTAACAGTATCATTTGCCTTGCTTCTTTAGTATGTTAATACCCTGCTGAGAATTGATTTTAGCTGTTATTGGGCAGAAATGTATGTAGGGTTCTTTGCAGGTATTGAGGCTCACCCATCAGTGATTTGGACTGAAATTGAAATCTTTATACCTTTATGAATCCCAAACATTTATTTTGTAAATGCATATATACTTGTTCATCATAATAAATATCAGAAAATAGTTATTTTATACACTGTTTACAACCTATTTTATATCTTCAGTAATATCCTCTCACTTTTCTACCTCATTATCTTTGTTGAAGAATACAACAAAGATCCGTCCTTAGGCATGTTGGCCAGATGCCTAAGTAGACCACAGACATGATAAGAAAGTACTCAGAGGAGGAGCCCTCACCATCATTCCCCTTCCTGCAGATCCCAAACTCTTACTGCCTGTGCTAAGTCCATTAGTAGGTGTTTTGGTTTCTATCTCCAGAAACAGAAGAAATCCATATGGTTCTTTTTGCCTCCCAACCTAGTCCATTTTTTCTTTACCTTAAACTACATAATAACGTAATCTAAACAGACTCCTTTTACTCCATTTTTTCCATTTGTGATACAGATTTTTTTCCCCAGCATTTTGGTATTGTATTTTATATATGTCTTTTAAAAACACCATTTAGTTGACTTTACTTTTGTTTTTTTCATCTAACATTTGACAAACTTTTGAATTGGAGCATTTAGTTCATTTCTTTCTAAAGCAGTGAATGATATCTTTACATTTAACCATGCTATCTATTTGTGCCACCTGTTCTGTGTTGCTTTTTATCCTACTTTTGTCTGTATTGGGATTTATTATTTTTTATTATTCGCCCTTTCCCCCATTACTTGGAGTTTATACACTTTTTCATTACTTTTTTAATCATTACCTTAGAGGTTACAACACACATCCTTATCAAAATTTTACAAGCACATACCTTTTGAGCACTTATAACTCTATATTAAAAGTTCCCATGCTGTGTATATGTCATTCTTGTTACATATTTTATTTATATATTTATCTCTCACAAGATACTGTTTTGTACATTCAGTATTCAGTGAGATTTTCTGTTTACCTTATCCATTTTGCTTTTTTCCATTCTCCCCTGCGTGTCTGACTGTCCATTTGGGATCACTTTCCTTTTATTCTATGAACACTTAATACTTCTTTCTTTCTTCAGTGAAGATCTAACTATTGCCCAATTCTCTGTTCCTGATTTTCTTAAATTTTCCTTATTTCACCCGGTTGGGTTAACTTACCTCTAATACTGAATTCCAGTTGGCAAGGTTTCTTCTTTTTTTTTAAGCACTCTAAATATGTTATTTCATTGTTCTTCAATTATAGTCTGATTTTTTTCCCCTTTGATATTTCTTTGTCTTATCTGCCAAGGATTAATTTTCTTTTAGTTAACCTACTTTTATTTTCATTGCTGTTCATTACAGTTGTTCCCTTTTCCCCCCATTACTCTCCCCCTCCCTACCCACTCCCCACCCACCAAATTCAGTCCTTTCCACTGTTGTCTTTGTCCATGGGCCCTGTATACATGTTCCTTGACTTGACTCTTCCCCTTCATTTCCCCATGACCCCCCTCTTCCCTGCTCTCTGGTCACTGTCAGTTTGTTCTTTATTTCTTTTATATGTCTCTGGTTCTGTTTTACACACTCGTTTGCTTTGTTGATTAGGTTCCACTTGTGTGTAAGATGATATGGCATTTGCTTTTCGCTGCTTGGCTTATTTCCCTTAGTATAATGCTGTCTAGTTCCATCCATGCTGATGCCAAGAGTAGGAGCTCCTTCTTTATTTCTGCTGTGTAGTATTCCATTGGTAAATGTACCACAGATTTTTGATCCACTCATTTACTGATGGGCACTTAGGCTGTTTCCAGCACCTTGCTATTGTAAATAACACTGCCATGAACCTTGGGGTGCACAGGTTCTTTTGAGTTGGTGTTTCAAGATTCTTAGCATATAATCCCAGTACTGCAATTTCCAGGTCAAAAGGCAGTTCCATTTTTAGTTTTCTGAGAAAATTCCATACTGTTTCCCATAGTGGCTGCATCAGTCTGCATCCCGCCAACAGTGTAGTGGGGTTCCCTTTCCTCCACAGCCTCACCAGCACTTGTTGTTTGTTGATTTGGTCATGATGGCCATTCTGCCCAGTATGAAGTGGTATCTCATTGTGGTTTTAATTTGCATTTCTGTGATGGCTAGTGATGCTGAGCATCCTTTCACATGTCTCTAGGCCCTCGCTATGTCCTCCTTGGAGAAGTATCTGCTCAGGTCCTTTGCTCATTTTTTAATTGGGTTCTTTGTCTTTCTGGAGTGGAGTCATGTGAGATCTTTAGAGATCAAACCCCTGTCAGAGGTATCATTGGCAAATATGTTTTTCCATATGGTTGTTTCCCTTTTCATTTTGCTGATGTTTTCTTTAGCCGTGCAGAAGCTTTTCATTTTGGCAAAGTCCCATTTGTTTATTCTTTCCTTTATATCCCTTGCTGTAGGGGACATATTGGTGAAAATATTTATTAACCTTTTGTGGGGTTTTTTTTGAAGTGAACAGATCTTCATGATTTTATTGTCACATAATAAAACAAAAAAATGAAGCTTACATAATAAAACAAAAAATGAAGCTTAGAAGTGGGTTACTTAGCCCTTTCTCTTTTTGTCTCCTCCCAGTTGAAAATGCTCGAATCTCTTCATAGCCAGCATTCTTTTAGATCTGCAGTTTGGCTCAACACATTCAAGCCTCAGCACAATCTTCTTTGTAGTTTTAGCCTTTTTCCAGAAAATCGGCTTAGTCCGCTCACCATAGCCACTCCGCTTCCTGTTATAACACCTCTGCCTCTGTGCATATAGAAAATCCTTGCCCTTCTTGCTCTGTGTTACTTTATGGGGTCGATGCTTGCCACACTTCTTACAGAAAGTCCGGCTGGTTTTAGGAGCGTTCATTATGTTTGCAAGAGCGCTAATAGCACAGAAAAAGCTTATTAACCTTTTGGAAGATTAAATATTAACCTTCTTTTAGTAACCTTCTTAGGTCTTCTTAGTAGAATGTTTTCATCAGCTTTGTAAAGTTTTCAGCCATTTATCTTCAGATACTGCTTTTGCATCCCTATCTTTCTCTTCTTCTAGAACTCTAGTTATAGTGTTAGATCTTTATATATCCTTTGTCTCCTATTCCCTTTTTCAGTATTGCACATCTTTTGATTTTTCATACTTCAGTCCAGATTTTTATGTGACCCATCTTCCAGTTCACTACTTTTCTCTTTAATTTTGTGTAATTTGTAATTAAACTCATCAATTGATGTCTTATTTTTTTTAACATTTTTTTTAGATTTTTAAAATTTATTTATCTTTAGAGGGGAAGGGAAGGAGAGGAGAGAAATATGAATGTATGGTTGCCCCTTGTGAGTCCCCTGCTGGGAACTGGCCTGCAACCCAGGCATGTGCCCTGACTGGGAATCAAACCACGATTGGCTGGTTCGCAGGCCTGCGCTCAATCCACTGAGCTATACCAGGCAGGGCTGATATATTTTTTGCTTCCAGAATTCTTTATTATTTATAGATTTCTCCCAGAATTTTAAACTTTGTCTTTTATTGTCTTGAACATAGTTTGCATGATTATTTTAGATTTTCAATCCGAAGCTCTGTGTTTCTGTTATTATTATGTGTTGTTTCTGCTTATTTTCATTTATGTTGTAGTGTTTTGTATGAACACATATTTTATTATGCCCAAATAACTTTATTTGAAAAATTGTCTGTAGAATAACTTTAGGTCTAAGATGATATCTTCCCCCAGAGAGCATATTTTAATTTGCTTCTTTAGTTTTCTGCGCCAGTAGAAATCTGTATTACCGCACTCCATTTTCAATTTTAGGAATGATCTAAAGCTAATTTACAGTCCCTGTAAGGACTTGTGTGCTTGCAGTTTATGCTCATGTCTAGGATCCGGCCTTTCGAAATCAAAACCCAAAGCAATGTAGGTCACCAAGCCCCATTTTTGGGCAGTTTCTGGACACTAATTTATACCCCCTTGCACTGGCAAACCATCAGAAGCACAGACAGCCCCACCTCTCAGCCATCTATCCCAGAATCAGGAAACACTGTTGGGGGGAAAATTCCAAATATCAGGTTCTCCTTCTTAGGCCTCTGTCTTCCTCTTGATGCAGACCTGGTTTTTCTTCACTATTTTGTTGGTTCTCCAATTCTTTATTTTTTATCTGTTTTTCTACTTGCACTTAGTACAGTTAGTCCCAATGGTCTAGTTCATCATGGCTCCAAGCAGATGTTCCCTTAATACTAACCCCACAAAGAATTTGTTCAATATATAGTGAAGCTCAGTCCTCTTTCAGCTCTAGAGAAAGCTCACTTTTTTCATAATTCTTAATTATTAGAAAACTTAGTGTTATGTATGTCTCTCTGTTTCTAAAAGTAGTTCAGAATTTTATTAAGCATATTAGTAATCTGTTGCTGTATAACAAACTGCCCCAGATTTACAGCTTTAAACAAATGTTTATTATTTCATAGTTTCTCTGGGTCTTGAATCTGGGGTTGGCTTAGCTGTGTGCTTCGGGGTCACTCATGTAGTTGTAGTCTAAGACATTGTCAAGGGCTGTAGTCTTTCATGAAGTCTTGACTTGGGGAAGATCTGCTTCCAGATTCACTCATGTGGTTGTTGGAAGGCCTTGCTTCTTTGCTGGCTATTGGCTGAAGACTAGTTCCTCACTACATGGGCCTGTCTATAGGCTTCTTAGCAGGGCAGCTGGCTTCTCCTGAATGTGATTGCCCTGCAAAGGAGAGGTACGAAGACCCATGAGGGAAGGTCTTTTAACCTAATTTTTTAAAGTGATTTGTTACCACTCTGCTATATGTTATTAGTCTCACAGAGCAGCCCCGTAATGTGGGGTAGGTGTAAATACGAGTAGGTGGGGTTGACTGGGAACCATTATAGTGGCTGCCTGCCTCATTAAGCTATTCAGAAGGAATCTAATTGCTCTTACATATGAGTGCCTTTCAGCTCTTTGAGAAGAGCAGATAGGAGTCAGCTCAGCTTCTCCCCACTTTTCCCACCCCCCCCCCAGGATAACTAGCCCAGATTCTTACATGATATATTGCATAGTATGTTTTGTCTTGGCTTATTGTCCCAGTTTTGACATGTCCCACCCAAATTTTTCTCCAGGTTGTTAAACTTCTGAGTTCTAAATTATAGTTTATATTAAGAGTGTTGCCTCTGAAGCCCGTGTGTTTGGGTTTGAATCCTGAGTCTTCTGCTTACTAGAGGGCAAGTCACTTAATTTCTCTTTTCTTACATATTTAGTCTGTAAAGTGGGGATAATATTAATTCCAACCTCATAAGAGTTTGTGAAGATTGAGTTAACCCATGCTGAGTCTTTTGAATAATATTCAAAATGATGAATACTCAAAATTGCAACTGTTGTTAGTATCTTGTTGGTTTTTGTTATTGGTCCTATTTCTCCGGTGTGTTACCAGTACTTGCCTCACTCTTGCTTAAACCTAGCATGGTTATCAGCCTTGGAGTGTGAAGAGTTCATACACAGTGCTCGTGTAAAGTGCCACGCCAACCTTGTTAGCTGTCCTATTACTTCGAAGAAAAAATTGTGCTTTTATTTTTTTAGCAGTTGAGATGGAGTTTCTGCGAAGGAAAGCTATATAATTATGTGTGTGTTTTACTGATGTAATCTATTTTTATAATATCTAATTGTTTCTTCTAATTTTAATATTTTATATTTTCAGTTCATAAACCTTGTTGCCAATTTGATGAAAAATTTACTTCTTGTTAGCAAGTATTGAAAATCTGAAAAGTACAGTAATATTCTATAATGTTAACATGTTTAAAATTCTTCAATGACCCAAAATTAGTTTCTGTACTATAATTTAGGTTGAAATTACTTGTCTTTTTCAGTCATCCTAGTGAAGATTTATTATCTGATCATATCTCTATACTGAATTGTTACCTGTTTTCTTATTATTTGCCTATTGGTTTGGTTATTTACCTTAAAAATTATAATGCATTGAAAATTGCAAAATGTGATGATTTAATGACAAATCAACAAGAATTAATGTTGAAATGTAGTTATATTCCCAGTGCTGAGCTAAATGTATAGGTATTTTCCTTTTGTTTCTTTCATAGATAGCAAATAATAAAGATGCGTTGAGGAAGACTTGGAACCCTAAGTTTACACTAAGAAGTCACTTCGACGGCGTTCGAGCCCTTGCTTTCCACCCCGTAGAGCCTGTTTTGATAACAGCATCGGAGGATCACACACTGAAAATGTGGAATTTACAGAAAACGGCCCCGGCCAAAAAGTGAGAATATTCTACTTTCACTTTATTTGACAGATTTTAACAGATTTTCAGCAGAAAAGTACTTACTTTATTATTTACTGTTAAATTCCCTGTATATCTCTTCTAGCTTTTTTCTTCGTCACCATATCATGTAATTTAGAGTGTTTCCCTTTGTACTCATAATTTAGCAATCTAGTACTAGGTTGGTATTACTGATGGTTTCCCAGGATTTGTGAATGCCAGTTACAATCCTTATACAGTATTTTAAATGTTTGTATTATTTAGGGAGCCCTTCAAGTGTACTGAGAGTTTCTGTTGTTGCTATAAACAGGAATAGGAGGCATGTTTAATCATCAACCTCCCACCCCAGTCCTGTCCCATTGTTTACGAGCCTTGGACTTACGGAGTGGAAGGGAGGGAAGGCTGATTGGGATAGGTGAGGGACCTCTCTTTGGTCTTGTCTTTTGGCCTTCTGGTACTTTCCATACCCACCAATATGTCTGTACTGAAAGGCAGTGTTGTTGCTGTCATTTAACTGCTAGTCTTGGCTTTGGCCCCTTGGTGTCTCTCTGGGCATGGACAGACAAGAGTTGCTGTAAACCCCTTTACCAGTCACCATGGTAGTCCTGATCCTACTTGTTGGAGTCCTTATTAGAGCTCCTCTCCTTTTTTTCCTTGGGTTACATGGCCCAGAACCCATCAGCTGCCAGCAAGGGCTCTTCTATAGTGTCAGGCATTTCTGCTGTTAGAAGAGTAGAAATGAATTTCAAATGGAGGAGATTACAGAAGTTTTATTACTGGTAGAGGATATCTATGATTAGGGACATTCCTGCTGTGTGTGAGCCATACATGGACTAGATCTTACTAAAACCAAGTGAATCCTCACTTGGATCAGATATCTTCAGCAGAGAAAAATTACTTCCTGGTTATAAATTGCACTTTTTGTCTTTGTAGTTCTTTGGTCACAATGGACATCACATTAGACTAGAGACTGTGAATGTCTCACCATATAGTCTTGACTGAATTTTAGAAAAATAGTTAAACAAGTTTCTTGCTGGTGATAGCTTAGTAATAATACCTTCACATGTAAATAACAGTGGCCCGTTTATCTTTGAACTTAAAAATTTGGAAATGACTTGAGAGAGATCATATGCCTATAAAAATAATTGTAATGCATTGTAGAAAATGGTAAGTATTTGACTTTAAATCCAGTTTCCATTAACAATCATGACCAGTTTAGGTGCTATACAGTGTTCATACACTCAGCATTCTGAGTGGTGAATCAGCTGATGAGTTGGATGGTTTCTGCAAGTATCGAGGGCAGATATATTAACCTTCATGGAAATGCCAGGAATTAAAGTACCAGTTATTGAAATTCTCTGTGCATGGTCCTGTCCTAGGCTGTTTTATTGGGTTGGCCAAAAAGTCTGGTATGTTTTTTTGTACAGTGGCTCCAGTTCATTCAAAACAATTTTGTTAGTTTGTGTTGTGACAGCTGTCATATCAGCATGCATTTAAAGTGAATTTTTTGTGCAGTTATTTTAATTTTGAATATGGAAGAAAATATGTAACATATATTCTGTATTATTTTAAGAAAGGTGAAAACGCAACTAAAATACAAATAAAGATTTGTACAGTATATGGAGAAGGAGCTATGACTGATTGATTGTATCAAAAGTAGCTTGTGAAGTTTCTTGGTACTGTTGACATTTTGGCCAAATCTTTGCTATGGGTGTCTCATACATTGGAAGATGTTTACCAGCACCCCAGGCCTTTACCCACTAGAAGCCAATAGTGGGAGTTGGCCAACATACTAAAAATATTCAAATCAATAAAGTTATCGGTGAAAATGAAAATGTATCTTTTATTTTACAGAAAAAAACCATAAGGACTTTTTGGCCAAACCAGTGCTTGTAGGATCTCATTTAATCCTGTGAATATTTGGTGTTATCCCTATTTCTTTTGTTTTATTTTAAACATAGAGGAATTTGAAATTCCAAAAGATTAAATCATTTGCCTAACCTTAGTTAATAAAAGAACTGGAAACTTAATCCAGAATTTATGACACAATTCAGTGATACTGTTGTCTGCTGAAACTAAGAGTCTTCTTTTCTTTCTGACGTAGGAGCACCTCTCTTGACGTGGAGCCAATTTATACGTTCAGGGCTCATAAGTAAGTATGTGCCTTATAAAAAAATCAATATCACTGTCAATCAACCTGATTAGAATATTTTATTTTCTCTCATTTATGTATTCATTGTTCTGAATTTTTTGTATTTAGTAGCTTTTTTAGTAAGTGTAAAAGAAACTGGCAGATAATTGTTAAATATAAGTTTATCAGTATCAAATAGGGATTCTTGCTGAAATTAGATTTTATTTGCATGATGTTTAAATGGTGTATATCTCTCTCATAAATTTGAGGCAATTAGATTAAAATATTAGAAATCCTGACCTCTTTTCTTTAAAGATAACCTACATAAAATATCCAAGAATTTTTTATTGTGATAGAATATTACTTGCTTTTTTTGTTTTCCTGTTAAACTTAAGGAATATATATGTGTGTGTGTGTGTGTGTGTGTGTGTGTGTGTATGTGTACACACATAGTCACTTGCTTTGTAACACAGAGATCACATACTTTTTATATAAAGGGGTAGATAGTAAATCTTTTTAGGCTTTCCAGGTCACATATTTTGTTGTATATTTTTTATTTTAGTGTAGTTTTGTAACCCATTAAAAAATGTAAAACCCATCCTTAGTTTGAGGACTGTTCAAACTAAGACCACTGGCTGGATTTGGCCCACAGGTCATAGTTTACCATCCTTGGGTTAAGCAGAGGAAGAAAAATGAACAATACTTTGAAAGTATTTTTACTCATTGTACAAAACTGAAAAATAGAAAGGCATTTTCATAATTAAGTATTCTTATTTGTAATAAGTCCTATCTATTATCAGATTATTTTTGAGACCAGCAATTGATTTTCTCTCCCAGAGGTCCGGTGCTCTGTGTGGTGATGAGCAGCAACGGTGAGCAGTGTTACAGCGGTGGGAGCGACGGGCTGATCCAGGGCTGGAACACCACGAACCCCAACATCGATCCCTATGACTCCTATGGTATGTGAGTCTCTAAGATACAGAAGAATAGAGTGTTTTCTTTTTACACAGTTTACATAGCATACATAAAGATAAAACGAGGTATTAAAAAAATAGTAAAAGAGAACCATATCTTTTTTTGTTGTTGTTCAAAAGGACTCCTATATTTAGGAACTAATTTGATCTATAAGGCTAATTAATAGAAAAAAGAGGACTTCCGCCAAGATGGAGGTTTAAGGTGGACGTGCCTGCCTCCTCACACAACCAAGTTTAGGGACAACTAAATATTAGCATCAGAAAACACAACCAGAACACAGAAAACTGAACTTTTCGGAAGTCCGCTAACAACAAATTCTTCGGCCCCACGGTAAGGGGCGAAACCAGCGTCGGGTGAGGAGTAGTCGACCCGGGCGCGGAATCCAGACGCGCGAATCCAGTCGCACGGGTTCCAAACCCAGGATTGGACCTAGTGAGCAACCGAGCGGCCCACCGGGTGAGCAACTACGGAGGAGTCAGTGGGGAGGCGGTGGCAGCGAGTTGACTGAGGTTGCATGGTTGCGCGCGGGTGAGGGAGTGGGCGCTTGGACCGGCAGCGGCGGCGCCATTGCCATTTCCCTGCTCTGACCACGCCCCCACATACAGCGTCACAACCCAGCGACCTGGGAATCCAAGGCGCCGCTCCTCCCACTTAAAGGGCCAGAACAGACCAAAAATGTCGCAGGAAGACCTCAAAGCCCCATAGATAAATCTAAGTGACGAAGAAATAGCAAATCTCTCAGACGCACAGTTTAAAACACTGGTCATCAGCTTCCTCACAGATCTGGTGGACTATAGCCACAAATTAGAGAAACATATGAAGGCTAAATTAAGGGAAATGAATGGAATTCCACAGGAAAACCATAGAGATGAAAAAAAAACTGGGACTCAAATCAATGGAGTGGACCAGAAGGAAGAAGAAAAAAATCAACAAACAGAAAGGAATGAAGAAATAAGAATTCAGAAAAATGAGGAGAAGCTTAGGAACCTCCAGGACATCTATAAACGCTCCAATATCCGAATTATAGGGGTACCAGAAGGGGGAAAGACACAACCACCAGTGGAAAAACTATTTGAACAAATAATAAAAGAAAATTTCCCCAATCTGGCAAAGGAAATAGACTTCCAAGAAATCCAAGAAGCTCAGAGAGTACCAAAAAAGTTGGACTCAAGAAGAAACACACCAAGGCATATCATAATTACATTAGCCAAAATTAAAATGAAGGAAAGAATCCTGGAAGCAGCAAGAGGTAAGGGGACAATCACCTACAAAGGAGTCCCCATCAGGCTGTCAGCAGATTTCTCAAAAGAGACCTTACAGGCAAGAAGGGGCTGGAAAGAAATATTCCAAGTCATGAAATCTAAAGACCTACAACCAAGATTGCTCTACCCAGCAAAACTTTCATTTAGAACGGAAGGACAGATAAGGTGCTTCTCAGATAAGACCAAATTCAAGGAGTTCATCATCACCAAGCCCTTATTATATGAAATGTTAAAGGGACTTATCTAAGAAAAAGAAGTTAAAGAAACATGAACAGTGAAAGGACAACAAACTCACAGTTATTAACAACCACACCTAAAATGAAAGCAAACTAAAAGGACAGCTAGATCAGGAGTGGAAACATAGAAATGAAGATCTCAAGGAGGGTTAGCAACAGGGGGAGTGGGAGGAGGAGACGGGGGGGAGAAGGTACAGAAAACAAGTAGCATAGACAGTAGATAGAAAATAGATGGGGGGGGGGCAAGAATAGTATGGGAATTATAGAACCTAAAGGACTTGAGACACATGGACATAAACTAAAGGGGGGGTAATGGTGGGGTTGGGGGGGCAGGGTGGAGGGGAATGAAGGGGGGAATAGAACAACTGTAACAGCATAATTAATTCAAAAAAAATAAATAAATTTAATTAAAAAAGAAAAAAGAAAAAAGAAAAAATATCCTTTCTGAGAAAACAGTTTCTACCACCCAAAGTCTTACTGATCAGAGATCCTGGCTTGATTGACAACTGTTTTTCTCGTTTTAGGCATCTGAACAGTACTTGATACATTATTACTGATCTGTAATAATATTCTATCACTATTCTAATAAACAATTTTGAAGGAAAATGCACGTTGGCATCATCTTCTTGATCAATTATTGGAGGGCATAGAGGCTAATGACTTTTCAAGTCCATGGCACCAAAATATTTAAAAGGCCTTAAAAAATTAAGAAGTGCCTTTTAGTCTTGGGAACAGTACCATGAGGCACAAATTCTTATTTTAATCTGTGACTAGTTTTTAGCATGAATTTCCTTGTAAAGGAAAGACCAATTTCCACATGGTCTTTTGAGGACAAGGATGGTGTTATGTCTTAATCATCTGTGTGGCCCCAGCATGTAGCATAGCACCTATTACACAGTGTGTCTTCAGTAAATACTAATGTATGACTGAGAGAGGATATTGGAAACATTTTCAACTTAACATCTGTGAGCCCTCTTGAAAGTATTACTTCATAGAATCATTGCTAAGTAACCCAGCCCTGGTGCCTGCCCTCCCTCCCTCCTTCCTTCCCATACATATCATTCATGTCAGTTACTGCTGCTTGAGATGATATGTATGAGAATTTGGGGGATTCTGTAGGTCTCAGTTCATGTTCATTTGGTCGGAGGCCTCCACGGGAATAATTGCCATTCATAGTACTGGAGGATAAGTGGCCTAAAGGAGTATATCCGGAGTGCTGCTAAAGGGGGCCAGAGGACGGAAGGATCTCTGTTTACTTCTTCAGGGAATATGAGTTGTGATTTCTCAGAGTAGGTTAAATTCAAATGGTTGATTTGTGTTGACATGGACTTTAATGTATCTAGACAAATGGAAAGAAAAAAGGGAGGGAGAAAGAATTACCTAATTTTTTTTAAAGAGAAAAATAGGTGCTTTGTAATATTAATTTATAAATTTTAAACTCTACGTTTGCATATTTCAAGCCTGCTTTTATTGCAGTATTTCAAAAAGAATAATAGACAGTAGTAGAAAGCATATTTTATACTGTTATCACGTTTTCTTATTTTCTCTGGAATCTAAGTACCTTTGTAAGTTGTTTTCTGTTCCTGATGTTACATATTCGCTGGTTTCTGTAGACCCTTCTGTTTTGAGAGGCCCTCTGCTCGGCCACACGGATGCAGTCTGGGGCCTGGCTTACAGTGCAGCTCACCAGCGCTTGCTGTCCTGCTCAGCAGATGGCACTCTCCGTCTGTGGGACACGGCTGAGGCGGCGCCGGCCTTAAGTGTATTTAATGATAATCAAGGTACATACTTCTGAAATTACTGATTATGTTACAAAATTCTAAGTTGTCTTATTTTAAAAACAAACATGCAAATAAAGGATTCCACAAACTTACTATTTAAATTTAATTTGAAGGGTGTTTGAAGTAATGAAACTGTGTTTATTTGAATCTTCAACTTATGCATAAATTTTAAAAACATAGTATTTGATGAAAGTGCATTTTTAAAAAATTTTATTGAGATATAATTTGTATACAGTAAAAACCAGATTATGAAGAAACATTGTAATGAGTTTGACAAATGCATAACTCTTGGATCAAGATATAGAACATTTTTTTTAACTCCCTCAAGTGTCTTTGTGTTCTTCTCAGCCAGTCCTGTCTCCTCATTCCTACCCAGAGGAACCCAGTGTTGGTTTTTCATCACAAATTAGTTTTGTCTATTCTAAAACTTCATATGAATGAAGTCATACAATGTGTACTCTCTTTATATCTGGCTTTTTACTCTCCTCATAATATTTTTTGTGATTCATCCATGTTGTGGTATCAGTAATTTATTTATATTGTTTAATGCTATTTCATTAAACCACAGCGTGTATATTCATTTAGCTCTTAACGGACATTTGCATTGTTTCCAGTTTTTGATTATTTTGAACAAAACTGCTATGAACATTCATATATTTGTATTACAGGTGGGTAAAGACCTAGAAGTAGAATTGCTGGGCTTTAGGAGTAAAATTGCCTGTTTAACCTTGTGTAATATATTTTTTCCATAGTAGTTTGTCATGTTACACACCACTGACAGCAATGTAGGAGAATTTCCATTGTTCTACATCCTTAATTGCTAATATTGGTATTTTGTGTATTTAATTTTAGCCATTCTGAGGGTGTATAGCAGTATTTTATTGTGATTTAATTTGCATGTCTTTGCTGGATAATTCTTTTGAGCACTTTGTGTGCCGTTGGCCATTAATGCATCTTTTTACAATATACACTTTGTTTTTTTTACTGTTTAACAGCTTGCTTTAGTTAGGTTTTTGAACCAGATGAAAAAGTCAGATTATATACATAGGTACACATCATTCAATTTTTTATGTTTGTAAATAAGTGCCAAGTTTTAACGAAATGTTACTTGTTTTAGATGATATATAAAAAACCTTTATTCTTGAGCCATGATAACTTGTCTAGGTTTCGATGAGTTAGTTGCATTAAAAAACAATGTATTGATTGATTTTAGAGGAAGAGGAGAGGGGCAGAGGGAGAGAGAGTTGTTGTTCCACTTACTTATACACTCACTGGTTAATTCTTCTGTGGGCCCCGACTGGAGATTGGACCTGCAAAACTGGTGCATTGGGATGATGCTCCCTGGCCAGGGTGCATTGCCCGCATTTGATATTTTCAGGACTACCAATAACAATTTGGAATTTACTTCTTAAATTCCATGTTTTTGATAAGTTAGAATTCCTAATAAGTAATGAGCCTTTAGAATGAAGAATTCCCATGATGCTACTCTGAGCCCCACTTTGAGATAGAAGCAACAAAACTTGTAGTCCATACGTGTTTTCCATTTATTTTTTGAATAAAGGCTTGCATTCCATATATGTATTAGCTGAAAAACAGGTAGAAGATGTGCTGAACAGATAAAGAGTAATGAAATATCCACTGAATGGCAATAAGCAAATTCTTATCCTAATATCAAGCCTCATTTACTCTTAAGGAAATCATGCTGCCGTTTGTTGTGCTATATTTTAAACACATTGTTAAGTAGACCCTCTAATTATTATTCTCTTTGAATATGTTCTGACTCTTCTAGAATTGGGAATCCCTGCCTCTGTGGATCTAGTGAGCAGTGACCCGAGCCATATGGTAGCATCCTTCAGCAAAGGATATACAAGCATCTTCAACATGGAAACACAACAACGCATTCTTACTTTAGAATCCAATGTAGATACGAGTATGTATAATAGTATTTAAATAGTCCGTATTTCGATCAACTTTTAAACTTCATTAAAATTATAACTACTAGAGTCATCTATGAAAAATACTTGTCATTATAAAGTCTTCTGCTTGCTAAATCACAGAACATGTTACTTAGAAGGATATAATGATTTACAATTGATTTTAAGTCTTTGGGTTAAGTTTATGCACATTTATAAGTACACTATTTGAAATAGCATTTGAGCTATTCCAAAGAATCAAGCTAATTTTATGCCAGATGATTTATGTTTTTAATTTTGCTTGAAGAAAATATATATTCTGAATATAAAATATTTTTTATTTCTCATAATTTGATTTTTTAATCCACTAAACTTTATATTATTAATATAGTTTGACACAGTTCATTACTGATTAGAGTGTATAGGTCAAGTTATGCCTCTCAAAAAATCCCAAATCTGAAGCTTCTTATTGGACATATGAAGTCAGGAAGTAAATTTACACATTGTGAACAAGATACCACAGAATTACTTTGTTTTGGGCTTTTTAACCTTTAGTTTCTGTCTTTAGGCTTAATTCAGACAATTACAGTTCAGGATGCAGTTGATAAATAAAACTTACATACACATAAATTATTTTAATCTGAGAGCTAGCTTTCAAAATAATTATTATGGGGTGTGTGTGTGTTCCTTCTGCCTTTTTCTCCCCCACATTTCCTGTATTTTATCTTGGTTTTATTTTCTCTTCCTAATATGTTGTCCATTGTTTCTTCTGGTGTCCTGTGAGAATTGTTTAGGGAAGAAGGCATGAACAGAGCTTTGAACTATTTTATTTGGATGTAAAAGAGACCAAAAATCAAAGTGGAGATTATGGAATAGCAAAAATTGAATTTTTTTTGCCAAGAAATGTAGGCTTTAGAGTCTCAGTGTATTTAAAATCATATTTAATACATGACCTAAAGCGACAGTAGTAAAGTAAAAACCCAGTATGAAATTAAGGAGGATGTGAACATTTTTAGAATTACCTTTAGAGATTGTAGTTAATTCTTTGAGTAGTAACTCAAAGATTCTTCTTTGAGTAGTAACTCAAAGATTCTTCTTTGAGTAGTAACTCAAAGATTCTTCTTTGAGTAGTAACTCAAAGATTCTTCTTTGAGTGGTAAATGTTGATTTTTCTGTGACTTCTACAAATTAATCAGACATCAAGTATGGTGAATGAGACTATTTTTTTCTCCAAAACGTGTGACTATAATATCACATGACTTTTTTCCAGACCTGGAAGCATTTGCTGCAGAAAACCGCCCATAATGTTTTATACAAAGGCAGTATTATTGGAATAAGTGATAATGATTTAAAGTTAATAATATGTCCTGCCATTTCCGAAATTATCACTGTGATTACTTCAGAGTTGTGTAAAACAAACTTAATTTAGTCTTTTATTCCTTTCTACTGTGACTACCCGTTAGCTATTTATATTTGACTATGTTGTTCTATTCTGGAGCTTAGCAGAGTTTTTTATTTTTATTTTTTTTTTTAATATTTTTTTATTTATTTATTTTTAGAGAGAGGGGAAGGGAAGGAGAAAGAGTGGGAGAGAAACATCAATGTGTGGTTGCCTCTCTTGAGTCCCCTGCTGGGAACTGGCCTGCAACCCAGGCATGTGCCCTGACTGGGAATCGAACCGCGATACTCTGGTTCGCAGGCCCGCGCTCAATCCACTGAGCTACGCCAGCCAGGGCAGCAGAGTTTTTTAAAAAATTAAAGTTCAGACCAATATTTTTCAAAGTGAAAGTGAGTTCCAATAGAGTTTAAAATGAAGGATTTTTGTTGTTGCCATTGGATTAAATGATCTTTCTTCTCATCGATGTCAATGGTAATTTGACTGTGATAAAGTCACAAGTAATTGAAGCAAGTAATTGGGTGCTTGTGAACACAGTGAAAAGGTAAACCATTTCTGAGTTGCAGTTTAAATATATTTGGAGGATTGTCTTAATTCATTGTTAGAATGAGGGCTGGTAGACCTTCAGTTTATTTTTAGTGTTCTTTGCGTTTTGCTTGTCTGACGTTCTTCTTATAAGGACAAACTTCCTTAGAAGTTGCTAAATAAAAACTTTCTTTTGTCTACTTTCATCATTTGATTTCTATCACTTATTTCCTAGATTTCAAAGTAATTGAAGCTATTCACAGAAACTTCTCTCTCAGATTATACTGGATATTTTACTTAAAGTACTTTTTTTTTGTCATCATTCTCCTGCTAGACCTTAAGAGGATATAACTCAATATGTTATCTCTGGAGGCAAAAAATTCCATAGGCTGAATTTTGAAACTAAATACTTTGTATAGAATCATTTAAATTGAATGTAACTGACCCAAAGCTTACTCTGCATGGTCAAGTGAGTTTTTGTTGTGTATTTAGGTAACAGTTTGGGTGGCGGCCTGCCGTTAGCATGGGGGAAAACATCTTTGGTTTTGAAGGTGTCATATTTCTATAAACCATAGGAAATTTCAATTAGAGTAGGCTAATATTACCACTATTTTTTATCTATGTTTTCTATTATGTGAATATAAATTCATGATACCTATTCTAAGATTAAAGATTGTTTTTAAACTCATTATTTTGTACTCATTTTAAATTTTCAGAAAAATTTCAATAGTATAACTTTTGACTATTTTTCACCCAGATTCATCAATTTTTAATATTTGCTACATTTTGTCACAAGCACTTTATTACTCTCCATATATGTGTATAATTTAAAATTCTGAACCACTTTGGAAACATCCTACTCTTATACTCCTTGATCCTTTAGTTAGCACGGCAGTTCCCAACCTTTGGAACCTGGGACTGGTTTTGTGGGAGACAGTGTTTTCCACAGACGGGGTGGAGGGCGGGGCAGGAGATGCAGAGCTCAGGCAGCAGTGCAAGCGAGGCCTCACTCGCTCCCCCGCCTCCCATCTCCTGTTGTGTAGCCTGCTCCAAACAGGCCATGGACTGGTCCTGGTCCGAGTTCTGGTGTTTGGGGTCCCCTGCGTTAGCATGTAATTCTAAGGACAAGTACATTCTTTGCCATAGCACATTACATCGCCAGAATCAGGAAATTTAATAACGACACAATGCTGTTGTCTATTGCTTACATTCAAATTTGCCAGCTGTCTCAGGAATGCACTTATAAGGACATCCTTTCCTCTCCCTGGACCATATAATACATTTTTGTAACTCCGACAGCTGTTAAATTCGTGTTACCTGTATGTACATTTTTCCTTATAAAAAGTATCAACATAGATTATTAATTAAATTTAAGTTTTTACTGATTTTCTTCTGCTAGAAGGCTTGCAGGAAGAACTCATGATAGTATAGTTACCAGTTTTGGCAGTTGTCTGGTTTGCATGGGCTGTCTGGTTGGGATAGATGTAGCAATCAGAATAGTTACTGAGTTTGTTATATGATTTTGGGCGGGTCACAACTTTTTCTGGACCTTGGTTCATGCATTGTGATTACGTGTTTAATGACATATGGCCTGTCTGTCCCACTGTGCATATAACTGCACTGTCTTCAAAAACCATTAAGTAGTGCACAGGTCCTTTTGGGATGCTGACCATTTTAAGATTCCAAATGTGTTGGGTAGATGGTGACTATTTCTGTTATGATGAAAAAAGAAGGTTAAAATGTTAAGAAGCTCTGTCTTGTGTATCTTTAGATGATAACCATGTAATAAAGAGCTCTGTATCTAGAAATATTTGAGATTTAAGTTTGAGAATTACATACAATAAGGAAGGATTGAATTTTTAAAAGTAGCAGAAATATCATAGAACATTATAGAAAGAGAAATAGCACTGGCTCTAGGCTAAGCCACAGGTGGTACCCATAGGCAACAGATCGTGGGAAAGGAAACTCTCCTTCTTAGGTAGCTCTCTGGATTTATCAGCATAGTATTGCTCAGTCAGTTCTCATTTCCTAGCACTGAAATTACGAACACAATTGCAGAATAAATGAACTAAAAACAAATTTAAATCGACTTTACTTTTTTAATCTCTTGGGGAGTATTCAGTTCCCTCGTAGGAATAAATAGTAGCTTTGACTAATTTGTATTGTCTTTCATTTTTTATTTTTAAGCCACCAACTCTTCCTGCCAAATAAATAGAGTCATCAGCCATCCCACTCTTCCCATCAGCATCACTGCTCATGAAGACAGGCACATCAAATTCTATGATAACAATACAGGTAAAAATGTATTAAATATCGATTATTGTTAAAGCTAAAAACCCCTCCACTATAAGTAGACTGATTTTGGTGTCTGTTTGTGACTCCATCATCATCAGCGTTGAAACACAGATACTCTCCCAGCTCAGTTTCTGTTTATTTCATCCAAATCTGCTAAGAACTATCTGTCATATAGCACGTGGAGTTATTTCGGTTTATTTAACAGTAAATACATGCTATATCTTGGCCCTGCAGTCAAGGTTAGCACTAGAAACATAACAGAAATTTCATGCAAATGCCAATAAAAATGATCGTTTACTGCGAATCTACTGGAGGAAAGTAGAAGTAAAGGCATAGGGATCATGATATTTTGTTTGAAATTATTCAGTTTTTGGTTCATGCATTGTTCCAGTGTTCAGATGGAAAACCCCTGTCATTTTTCAGTGGACTGATTTTTTTTTGCATTATAATCCTGTTTGTTCCTGATTGATCTGATTTGGGGCTGTCCCAGTTTTTTCTGGATTACATTTCATTAGTCCAGTGAAAATGCCGGAAGACCTGTGCTGGGAGAAAAACACTGTGTTAGCCGCCGTATTTACCTGTCTGCAGTCGGCTTTGTAACAATGTTGACTTTTGCTGACTTTGCTTATTAGCTGTGAATGATGAGTAATTTAATATTCTCAAACTCTTTCTATATATTGTTTATACCAAAGTTGTGGCTGAGGTTTTCTCTCTGATCCTTTGTCTTTGTGTCAGTCTCTTCTTTTGTTCCCATGATCCATATAATTTGCCTGCATCTAAAGGATACAAAGTAGGTGGTTAATATCTGAGTTCTAGTTAATGGACGTGGCTTGTTGACTTTTATATTGTGATTGAAAGACAAAAATATAATCTGGAATTTGAGCTTTTGTGTCCCATCATTACCATGGCTAAGTGGGGAAAGAGACACTGTTGTTTTAGCTGATGAAAAAAGCTGTTCAGGCAGTAATAAGTACACAGAAAGGGATGACTGGAGAACCCAGTGTAATGTGGTAACTGGCATATATTCAGGATGAGGAAAGCTATTAATACAGAGCAATGATCTCTTTTTCCAAAGGCAAACTGATCCACTCGATGGTAGCCCACCTAGAAGCTGTTACAAGTTTAGCAGTTGATCCTAATGGCCTGTACTTGATGTCTGGCAGTAAGTACATCGACTCTGTATTATTTATTTGTTCTTATCATTTTCATATTAATGTAATTTTTCCTTTCAATTTCTTTTCTTTTGATATAGGTCATGACTGTTCAATACGTTTATGGAACCTAGAAAGTAAGACATGTATCCAAGAGTTCACAGCTCATCGGAAAAAGTTTGAAGAATCAATTCATGATGTAGCTTTCCACCCATCCAAATGCTATATAGCCAGTGCTGGAGCTGATGCACTGGCTAAAGTCTTTGTATGACAGAATGTGTCCTTTTCACCTTCTAGCTCTTTATAAATAATCGACTGCACAAAAGAGATACAAGAGACCAGGGCAAGAATCAACTCCTTTTGCCCTTTTGTTCTGCCGAAGGAGCACAGAGAACATTTGTTAAAGTATAGTTTTGCAATTCGTATACTGTTTTCTAAAACTAAGGTTTGTTCAGTTTGCTGCAAGCTCAGCTGAATCTGTGAGCCTGAAACTGTTTCAAATTTTTCCCAAAGTAGGGATTTTTATTTCTAAAGTTGTTCTAATTCGCTAGGCAGGCCTGAGCGAACATAGGTTTAGCTTGTCCCCTATTGTGTAAATGGGGCACAGTATAAAGGATAATTAAAAAGCTTGATGGCTGGGAATGAGTAGAGGAAAAGCTGAAATTTAGCCCTAGTTCTCCCTTGAGAAATCTTGTTAAACACATTAGGTAGTCAAAACATTAATCTTTACCGTATCTGCTGAACTAATCTCTATATGCATAATGACCAGGCAGTGTTCAAATGAGTTTTCAATTTAGCTCTCCTTTCAGCTGGTCACATAAAGCACCTGGCAAAGCATTTGACCTATTAGGGGGAAAAAAGAAATGCAATAATATGTTAAATATATTATTATTCAGAAATGCTAAACATTCAGTTTGTAAGCAGATATCTATATTGTATTACATTTTTGAAAGTGGATTTGGTACCATTCTAAAGTTTAACTGTCAGAAACACTCAACATTATGAAGAATAGTTGATAGACTCTGCTTTTACTAAAGGATTTAACTTCATTCAGGTGTAAGATTCTGTTTATTTTTAAGGGCAAGCAGGGCATATCTTTATAATAATTTCTATTAACTTTAAAATTCACTTTATTCATATGATATTTATAGTAGCAGAGTGATTATTTCATATTGATAAAATCTTAACTTTTCAGTGGTTGAAGAGATTGTAGTTATTTGCAAGTACTCATTCCTCAAAACCCACATAACCACATTTAGGATGCTCTCTGCTCTTTCCTTTTGTCTCTCATAGTCAGATTATCTGATACCTACCAAAAAGTAGCTCATAATTATGTTTTAACAGTGCAGGGGGTATGGCTAATCTCAGTCAGCTGCTTTTGCAAACATACTAAGCAAAGCAAATGTTTTATACTCCAGAAGTCCTCTATTAGCATCCCCAGTAAGAAGAACCTCTTGAGAACCTCTTGAAAAGCTGGATGGAAGAGTTCAGTGTATAATATTGCATAAATAGTTTTTTCTCTCCTTTCCTCTCCCTATCCCTCATCCATTGTTTAATTTAAAACACGGCATGTTTTCATGGGCAGTGAATCAGTGTCGTTTCTGGGGAAAACCATATCATAAAGGACCAGGGTTCCCTGAGTTCCTTGCCTCTGGCCAACGGGTGTTCTGTCAGCTCTTGGAATGCTCATGACCCTGCTCTCTGACCCTGGGGCACAGACTTTGTCCCTGCAACTCTCCCCTCTCCTTGCACCCTCTTGTTTGCTCAGAATGTCAGAGACCGATCTAGAACCTGGAAATAAATTACTAATGTCCAACTTTTCAGCAAAATGTATATAAATTAGACTTCAGACTTTTAAAGAAATTCATGTCCATAAATATTTTAATTTTTTAGTACAATTCCTACATTCCTACCCCAACATAGTCCATTGTCATAGCAATTGCACTTCTAATGATATGTACTCCTTGAAGAATTATTCTGGTATTGATGTGGATGATAATTGACCCTTTTTCTTTAAAATTTCTGCTTGTCTGCTTCTAGAATTTTTTAATATACAGGCAAGTTTTCTTGAAAATGAAGGACCTGTGCTAAATTTGCTTGGTTGTTATACAAATATGCTTTAATTTTTGACACAGATACCTTGTCCTTTCATCTGTGCTTTGGTTAACCCTGGGCTCAAGGGACTCTTTTATATAATCAAATAAATTGACCTGGACATGAGCTACCACATCGTAGCTGAGCTACGTACAAGTGAATGTTTATATTCCCAGGCAGATATGGAATTCCACATTGTGATTGGTGAATTCCTCCTCTGGTTCTTTACAGAGTAAAGTAATGGTGTTGCTAGCCTAACATTTGTAGAAGGATACTGGAAAATTCTAGCCAGGTGCCCACCCTTGGCATATTTATAATGGACAACTGCAAAGCTATTGTTCTACCAGTTATTGCTTTAATTACCTCCCAAGGTAATTGAAGGTCTTCAGTTACCATCTTTATTTATGTCACTGAAATTCTCAAAGCCAAGACTTTCTCTTCACCTACATTTTATACCTCACGGTTGAAATTTTTCTGTTAGTGAGTGAAAAATAACCATGAGATACATAGACCATAGTGCAAATGAGGGAACTGTTGAAGGTTCCTTAGGAAGCCAGTGCTGTGCCTCTGGAGACTGTACATAGAAACAGAGATTCCTCTGTACTAGCGCTGTGTGATACCAGCCTAGCAATGAGCCAAAGCTGCCTTCCAGTCTGATAGAAGCATATACACATGTCTGATTTTTCCCTCAGCCTGTTGAAAAGGTGAACAAAATTTGCAAAATGGGAAAAAAAAAACAAAACATGATTTGAACAGTCATTGAAATGCTTTCATAGGGCTTGGTTTGTAACTATTTGGGATGAAATGTATTGGAATAGTATGAAAATCATCAAGAGATGTGGGTTCCTGCCTTATTTTCATGTGCTGTGGATACATCTCTGGGAGCTCACAGTAACCTTCTCAAAACTCAGTTGTCATATGGAGCTCATTTGCTACTCGGACCATAGATTGATATTTAACATAAGTGGTATAATGACCTTCAGTATTTTTCTATTGAACAGGTTTATCAGTTTTTGTCATTAAATAGATAATTAGTTATGCAAAGTATTTAGCTTTTATAATCATTTTAGTTATGACTAAAAGGGAAGAAGTTGAGCTGCATCACTGATAATGAAGTTTGTGAGAAATTTTTTGTTTAGCTGACTTTCATTCCTTCAGTATTGCTACAAATTTCTGTTGGAGAAGATGAAGATTTATTTGAAAATGTCTAAAATGTATGTAAATTTTATAAATATATATTATATATATGTAAGAATATATATAATATATATAGACTATATATATATAGATATATATATAAACCATAGGTGCATTTTACTGTTTTGTATTTTTATTTTTGGAGGTAGTGTACACAGCAGGTAATGAGGATTATGATGGGTATTGTGCTGTTTGCTTCTGCAGTATAATATATAGAGTTCCTAATGTTCAAATGACTGTAAATACGATATTCATTATAGGCTAGCATGCTTGTTTTAAAGACTGTCATTTTAGTTTATTAAAATCTGAATGTAAGAAAACTTGGCTATTTAAATGTGAATTGAAAAATATTCCAATCTCAGTACTGAACTATTTCCATCGAACATTCAGGATTTTAAATAAAACAGGTATCATCAAGAAGGCAATAGCTAGAGAGAGAGGTGCCTTTAAAAAATACAAATGCAGCCTTACAGTGAGGATGAGGATTGAGTTTGGGGGGAGGGGGAGAGAGAGCAAGGACAACTGTGTGTGTGCATGTGTGTGTGTGTGTGTGTGTGTGTGTGTATGCATGCGTGCCCCAATCTGCGAAGGTCCTGATTTGTGACCGTACTGTCTTTTTAATGTATCTGCTCAGCCTCTAGGACTTCAGGGGACATTTCATGTGCTGTCTTTGTGCTCTTCTGAGCGCCATTTATACTTTCCAAGAATTCTGAATGTGAATTCTTAAATATTTTAATAGTGAAGAAAATAAGTATTTCATTATAGTCAGGTAAAAGGAGAAATTATTGGCTCATCAAAATTATGGGATCTCATTCATTTGACTAAGTAAATGTAATTTTTAAAAACTCACTGTTTTTTAGTATTTCATATATTCCCCCCCTTATACAAGATCATGTCATGACATTCTTATGTAATGAACATTCAACTAGTAAAAATTATTTTTAGATAAACACCAGAACTAGTTAAAATTTCACCTAAGAATAGTATTTAAATGGCATCTTTCATATCTACCTCTTTGTCATTGCTGCCATTTTAACTAAAGCAAACCTTTCTGACATCTGAAGTGATGGTTGGATGCAATTTAAAAATCTGTGTTGGTGCTTTTCTCAGGCTTTGTCATTTTAAGTTACATTGAACTAAGATGTCACAAATCAGATTGAAAGACTTCGAATTAATTTTGATTTTCTTTTGAAAGAACTGCTTAAAATTTATCATTAATATTGATAGTTAAGATAGTTAATCTCTGATTAGTATACATGTCTGTGTGATACTTTCAACCAAGAGCCAAACTGTTAATGAATTTATATGAAAAGAGCTCTAAAGTATACTTTTTTTCAGCTTACTTTACTCTTTGGAAACTATTTCAAGGCCATTAAGTACATAATCATTCATTGTATTTTCTTAGCAGTTGCCTCCATTACTGTTACCTGTTTAGTTATTTATAAAATTGCAGACCTTTAAGTGTTTGACACTGGGACTCAGGTTGTACAAAAGTAGTTGTTGGCAGAAATTATATGTATATTTTTGCACAGTGTATCGATTCCCAAAGTTCATTTAAGGAAAAGGTCCAGAAGACTAACAGCTGTGTTTAGAAACAGACGATAGGTCATTAGTAAATGACTGAAATCATTTTTACCTTTGCCACTGAAGGCTTTTTAATTGGCCATATTCATTATCCAACTGGGTCTCCATGTCACTATAAGGGACAGAAGGTTGACAAACTATGTAACAAATTGCATCAGGTTTTTTTTTTAAATTCTTAAATATTAGGCCAGTCAGAGATCCTAGATCCCACTTATTTATTCTAGCAATATTCCTGAAGTAGTGCTTTAGGAGTCAATTTCCTGGATCTTTGCTAATCAAGCTTTCGATTGGATTTAACTGGGACCACAGGTTTGTCATCCCTCTGATGCAAATTGGAAAGTTCATTTTAATTTTGGTTAACTGTAATGTCTGCCTGGGTTTTTAACAGGCTGTAAACCAGTGAGTGCCTTGTTTATGTAGAATGTTTTTTTCTGGTTGTATATTAGCTCCTCTCTGAAAATGTCTCCGAGAATGGCATTTTAGTTGACTTGGAGAGAGGGCTGCTTAATCTGGTGTTACCAGCGAGCAGAAAGTCTTCAGTGTGTCACATTCCTCCCTGCTTCTTCCTTGTTTGGCTGAAGTTTGCCTCTTGTGAGAAACAAATGCAACCCCCGTTTTCCACACGGTTTTCCAGTCCCGATGAAGAGTCATCCCCCACACTCATCCCAACCTTGTGGTCTGGTAACTGTTTTTAGGAGGAACCACTTATTTGTAGTCCTGAAACCTATTGGTTATTTTATATGTTCTCAACTTCAGTTTACTAGAGCTGACCTCAGGGCATCATCAGTTCCGATTCCTATATAACTAACTCCTTTTTTCCACATGCTACCCGAGCCCCCCGCCCCCTGCCCAGACTGGTGAACCTTAGGCCAGATTGTTTGATCTTCAGGTATTTTAAATATCAGTTATAGTATCAATTAATGTAAATTAATCCAAATGCTAATCTTTGTGGTGCAAGAAGTTTCTTTTGTAAATTCAGGATATGGATAAGCTAATTAAGATATCTTTTTTTTTTTTGGTGGCTCTACATGTATTATCTGTTTTTAAATAAAGTATACAAATGTAGATAATGTGCTATAGGTGTCTCATGAATTGAAATATTTGTCAGATTTGGAATCTAGTATATTCGCAGTTAAAAATACTTTTAATACAACCTGATTTGTTATTTTGGGTGCTACTAGAGGGGTACAGAGAAATAAAAGGGTATTAGACAAAGTAGATGTGAATCCAAAATAATGAACCAGTCTTAATTATTAATTGTAAGAACGGTGGAGGTGTTTATCATTAGAGAGAGTTTGGACCTTTGGAAAGCCAGGAAAGTGAAAACGCCCCATGAGATTGGATCAACAATACTTTCAGGGACACGGGCTTATTTTTTAAGTGTTCAGTTATATAATTTTTAAAAATTATACATGCATGTATATGAAGTTAATGTGTTTTTTTTCTTTATTTGGCTACTTAACAGACAAACATTAGCCTTGTCCTTTCCCTTGCTCCTTCAAATGAACATTATGTCTTCAAAGGCTTCCCTGCCCCAAACTCTGTGCCAATCTGGAGTCACAATAGTGTATGGAATCTAAAAGATACCCCTACTGGTGCCGTTGAAACTACCCACTGTTCTTCAATGTTTTGTATGCTTCTGTAGCAATGAGTATGAGACCTTTGGTGTAGACACGTTTTTCAGTAGTGTCAGAAATGTCTCTTTTGTTCCTTTCAATGAGAACTGAGACATACTTGCTTAGTTATTTTAGCTCAGAAGGTCAGTAGGACTCCGAAGTTTTTCATGGACCAGTGGACCCCTGGGGTTAGCCCAGGTTCAGGGTGGTATTCTGGCTCGGATTGGGTTTCCCAAGACTGCCACTGAAGTTTTGAGGGGTCCAGCAATTGTCATGGCACTTGGGGTGTACCTTAGGAAACCTGGGAGTCTGGCAGCGCTAGACAGTCTAACCCAACACCACGACCATCAAGTGCCCTCCATGACTACAACCTACTTCTCAGTTACCAGTGCATGGGACACTCCAGTTCTAGGAGGAGCGTTGACATACGGCTCTGAAAAAACTGAATTGATATTTTCTGGAACACAAATTTTAATTTAGTGTCTTTTTTTCTACTTTGAAAACCAAACAGTCCAAAATCCACTCAACAAAAAAAATGACTCACTTTAAATTTCACGTAGTTCCTGCAAACCCTTTTAACCCCTGTGTTAGTCCTACTTGTTATTAGACAAAAGGTAATGGTTTGGTCAGAGTTGAAGACATCTGATTATCTGGGTAAACAATATCAGCCACATACTGCTAATTGGAAGGGGTTATTTCATAGGAAATTCTCCTGTCCTTGGTGATTCAGCCATCACCTTACATAAAGACTGGTCCAGATGCCTAACTCTCCATTACTTTTCCTATGTGCCTCTTTAAAGAGAGAATTAATCCAGTGACGTAAAGGAGAGCCCGCACGAAAACATCTGTTAAATAGCACTTGGAGTACTAGAGTTAGTATTTATTAATTCATGTGCCAGAGTTTTTCATGCCCTCGTAAAGATCCAGTGTGTATACCAGGTTCCCAATCTATAACCTCAAACCAAAGATATTTTTGAATTACCTCATATAATCGCATCAAATTAAGGGTAATGGTAAGGACACCCATCACCTACAAATGAGAGTCCCGTACTGAAAAACGTTAATTAAAAGCTGCATAGAGAACAAAATTTAATGTTAAGCATGAACTCAATGTCCGTGATGTATATAAAATGTGCTGCAATGTTGAAGTATATTAATGTTTAATTACTTCTTTATGGGAGTGGCACCAACGCAGAAATTTGTCATGAACAAGATTCACTGAGCTTAGAGCAAGAGAAATTTCATCAGAAAGTTTACTTTGGGTGCCGGATAACTTGGGCATGGGCATGGGGAGAGAAGTGCCACACTGAGAAGGAAGAGCCCACCCCCCAGTGTCTTTCTTTCTCTGCATGGCTGGGCAAGCTGACCTCTAAAAG